TAAAAGAAATACACAGTACAAAGTACAGAATAATGTCAATAATTGGCACGATGTTCGTGAAACGTCACCAACGATAATCAAATGAATTATTGTTCTTTTTCAGCGGACATTGGAGGCAACATGGGTCTGTTTCTTGGCTGCAGTCTCTTGACAATATGCGAGTTTATTGATCTTATTATTATGGTATGCTTGTACAGATGGAAGAAAAAATCAATTACAGATTCTACGCACAACGGAGGGGCAACGATCACGTGACAAAGCTTAATGTTTAATGTGTAACAATCTATGCGTATCGCTTGCCGTTGATTGCTATTGTAGAGCATAAAATGACGTATTTTAATAAATCTTGTTATCATGAAAAATCACTTGTTATTTTCACTAGTGAAAATATAGCACAAGTGATTATTAATTATGATTATATTTGTCCTTCGTAGATAATTGTGTGAAACAGAATTCGCTTCGCTCACTCGTGAGAGATCTTTTCAACTTCGAAGATAAAATCCTTATCTCCGCGCACCCATGTGATATACCTTATTTCTTCGTATTTTTCTCAGGTGCTTCGGTCAACACCATGAACTTCACAGAAATTTGATCCAAGAAAAAAAAACTTAAAAGAAAAAAAAACTTAAAACTTGTTGAACTAGTATGTAACAGCAAGCATACTGTGAAACGCTATAAGTCAATGATTGGAATTGTACCCGTTCAATTTTTTTTTACACCAAATTGATAGCCATAAACTAGTAATATCTATTTATACAATTTAACTGATTTGTCACAGTAAAATTTTCTTCTTACACGAATTTCCACTTCTATAACTAGCAAAAAAATTACAAAACGTATGATACAAAGGGGAGGCAAGCAACAAAATAAAATCGGAGACAGAAGCAACCACGATAAACTCTACTCGAGATGTTTTACACAGAAGTAAACAATTGCTAAAGTTGAAGATTATATAAGCTAGTTTAAGGTGCAGATTATAAGCCAGATAGATATGTGTTTTGATGCTATGCACAAGTTGGAATCAAACTTAAAATCTTACCGTATCGAGCGTGCTCACCAACTTAGTTTTCTGAGCACGTCTGACATGCTTTTCTTTCGATTCGTTGAGTTCAGATTTTCCTCATAACTGGAAACCATCTCTGCCTACAAAAAAATCTTGTTTTTTTACAAAAGCGAGTTGCATTGATTTGGAGAAAAACGAAGTTGTTTGGACGAAGACATAAACTTTACTAGAATTTTGTCGTGATCTTACGTAAGCTTCAGTAAGAGGCGTTCGACCAGCTTTCATTTTCAATTCGTTTTCTAGCTTTTTGGTCTTATGTTTTGACCTTTTTTACATTCACATTTTAGAGTAAATTTCCATCAAATAGTTCTTTTTGAAGAGTATTTCCTTTCATGAATTTATGGGTATGAAACGAGGTCTTGAAGGTTGAATATATGACTTTTTCTAGTGAAAACAAACTTTTAGGTCATCACTGATAAAAAGAAAAAAGCGGGAAACAAGACGCGCGCGCGTAGGCCTGATTCATCCCCAGTTCTCTCCTCGCGCGAAACTGAGCAATCTCGAGCTTTCTCGAGCCCAGTGTCAATCTCGAGCCCAGAGTCTTCACGGCTAATGTCAGCGGTATTGTATACATCTGAACATTGGATATAAGTAGCAATTTATACGCCAGATATTCCAAGTCCTTTATTAACGCTAATAATTTTTGGGGGGTTTAATATTACTGCCCTTATTGAATTTTTCCAGGTACTGAGCACACAAGTCACACAGCCCTATATTGCGTGTTTTTGTGGATAGTTCCTAATTTCCACTTAGGTGTGTGGAAAACGTTCTGAGCTGGAACGCGCTGATGCAAATAATGTCCGTCGCGATCGAGGTCGGATGGGGGAACGCCTGAACGCGAGGAACGCCTGAACGCAGGCTAAGTAGATGGAGATTTTTTCTACTAAAATAGGGTGAATTTACATTTATAATGCCTTGAATTATGAATGTATTTATTGCTGTATTCTTTATTAGTATTTAATAGGTGTCGATATTACATTACGATATTCTCAAAATCTGAGTTTTGTAGTCTTTCTTTGCTGCCGTTAGAACTTTAGACAAACACACCAAGGAGACAAAGACAGTGGGAAGACCAAAACCGTGGTGGTCCTGACGTGATAGTAATGAATTAACTTCAAGTTAGAACAAAATGGCTCCAAAATTGACGTCGGTTTTATTAGCATACAAAACATAGCACATTAATTTCTGGAAAACGGAAGCTTTAAAAGCTTCCGTTTTCCAGAAATTAATGTGCTATGTTTTGTATGCTTAATGTGACGAGGAGCGTCGCTACTGTCGATGACTGTATATTTTATGCGTTAAAAAATATTGAGCGATCTCATTTGCTAATAACCGTGTTTATATTCAGACTGACATGTTTGTTGTACACGCGTGCTCAAAAAAAAAGGCATGAAGTAAAATGCAAACAAATTTTATAAAAGAAATATAAAACGCGGCCGAGCTTGTGCCTATTTAGGTTGAAGAAGCAAGAAAAACACTTTATTCTACAAAGATAAATTGGTTATCTTATGCTCTCCCGCTTACCGTGTTTATATTTTTAATCTCATTCAATAGTATTTCTGCATGTCTAATAAAGCTGCTTATGAATAAGTCTGGCTTGTGAGTGGGTGACCTTTTACAGTCGAATGGACTGGAGAAACTATCTATGTGTAAGTAGCACTTTCAATTTTTAAAATATGTTGTATTTTTCAACTTTTTAAATAATTTTCTTGTGAATCTATAATGAAATACAGTACAACACTTTATTAGCAATACAATTTGTGTTTACACTCCTTGTCAAGTAGCCAGAATAGAAAATCATGTGAACTGACTTTTGATGTAAAAGCCATCATTCATCAACATATACAAGTAAAGTCTATTATTTCTTACCCAAACCCATTTAGAACGTAAAATAATTTGTATAAAAAGAAAGAAATGAAATAAAGGATATTGCACAGCATCATTGCCGAGCATTGAGAGTGTGTGTAACGAACGACCAAATTAATAATATTCTGTTTATTATATTTATCTGTCACAGCAAGTTTTGCTTTAGTATTGCTTCTCATTTACCTCCAATATATAGAGGTTCCACGAATGCGTTTTTTTCACGCGTGAAAAGTATTTCTGGGAGCTTGGAACGAGTGACAGAAGATCAATTACACCTGGGCTATTCCCGAGGATATCATTGTAATCGTATGATGTACGTTGTCGTCCCAAAAAAATATTATCTTATGTTACATCTTAACCTCTATGCCTCTGGATCCGGCACTGCGACTTTATTTCGTGTCGCTCCATATAATTATAGTGCAATAATAAATCGCACTTTAAGGTGTTTTGTCGTCCTCCGTTAAAAGGTAAGGCCACTATGCACTAGTTGACATAAATGACAAAAAAAGAAACGATCGTAACAGTGTTATGACCACATTCAATTTTTCATTCACAGACGTTGACGAAATCAAAACAGCATTCCAACCTTCCGAAATAGAGTTAAGATCCTTAGAAATTGCTGATACATGTTTCGTCCAATTCTTTATTCGATCTCTGTACTGGTTTGGAGATGACGGAAATCCAAGGACAGAGTGCAGAACTCATCGAGGTAAATTCTGTTAAAGTCGTTTGTATTGCTACGCGACTAGGAACTACTCGACCTACGTGTTTTGGCGGTCACCCGCACCGATTCCTTTAAACAAATGTTAGATTGATGAACAATCGATCTGCAGCAAGCTGTTATGTGATAAGTCATGGCTTATATATTAAATATTTATCACATAATAGTTTGCTACAAATTGATTTAAAATATCATTCATGCTACAATCCTCTATAGTAAACCAGCCTTCGTTGCTGTTGTGTAGGAAATGATTTCCTATCGTTTGAAATTAATAAAGTTTCTTTCATTCAATTCAAGCCTTTCTGCGAGATGAATGTTAAACAAAAAGAAGATACACAAAAACTACCACCCAGTGACAAAAAAGAGCAAAACCTTATCGAGGATTTCGGTTCGTACACAACACTTCATGGCTTTCATTTTACCTTGGATTCAGGATCAATATGGCGGCGAGCTTTGTGGGTGCTTTTGATCGTCATTGGTTTTGGGTTCCTCATTGTGCAGATCAATTTTAGTGTTGGTAGACTTAACGCCAACGAGTTTACCGTACGAAAAAGTGTCGAAGTCTCGAAGAGTCTCCCATTCCCTGCAGTCACAATATGCAATCAAAATATGATGAGAAAAAGTCAAATCATGGGAACAATTGCACAGGACTATTTGGATCAAATGGACTCGCTAAAGTTGTCTGTTGGTGGTGTGAAGCAAAAGGATGTGCCATCGTTTGATGTCCAAAAGACCCTCGAAAAGGCTGGTCATCAGTTGACTCACATGGTTCTGAATCAATATTTTCATTTTGCTGAAGAGAGATATTCATTGCAGCACTTCATGCCAACTCTATCATCTTACCATGTAAGTAGGGAAGAGTTAGGTTTTGTTTATACTTTTGTGGTTAGGGTCATAATTTTAGGTCTAGTGCGACTATAGTGGGTCAATAAAAAAGGTGCATGTTTATGACCTCCAAAGCGGGAGTACTACTGACCTCATATTTCCAAAGCAAACAAATAACAACTTCCTAAAGCGTAACTTTAGGACCCTATTGTAGAAAAGCGTCGACAAGGAACGGTCAAACAGCCAAGTCGCTGGGGACACGTGCTCCTCTGCGTCATAAGAATACGTTCTGTGGAAGACAAGTTACATAAGCTCTGTATGTCAATTTGAACTCCCTGTCCTGTCACAAATTTACGGGTAAAATAGCAAAAGTATTGACAAATTCATTAAACTGAAACTAAACTACAGTTTGGCCAGGCTTAATTGGCACTGAGCTAGTTGATCGTTCCAATTTACGGTTTCTTCTGATGTTTGTTTCCTGGAAGACCATGTGGCCAATTACAACACTGATGAAAACCACATTGCCGACTATCATCAAGGCTAAGGGAGCATGAACAGAAACTGAGTATTTGGAATGAGGATCTAAGTAACTCATTCTCTCTTTATGAGGGCTATTTAGACTATAGAGTTTTTCGTGTGTAAAAATTTCAAATTTGTCCGAGTGTATGGATATCACAGGTAATAGGTACATGTGGATGTACTCAAACTTAGTCTTGAATCATTCAATCTCAAACTGTCCAGGGTTTTTCAAGACCTCGCACTCGGTGTTTAACCTAAAGTATTTTAACTCAAGATTATTCAACAACCTTTTCTGATATCTTGCAGTTTGGACTTTGCTACACATTCAATGCAAACGGATCTAGCGAAATGCTAGTTGGCGCTGGTAAACGCCAAAGTCTCAAGATTCAACTCGACGCTCATCCAGAAGAGTATTATGGACCGTACAGCTACGAGGCAACAGGCTTTAAAGTTGCAATACATGAACCTGGTACATACCACAACATTGATAATGAAGGTTATGATGTATCACCTGGGTTTTACACCAGTATTAGAATCAAACGAACCAAGGTGAGTGTGTGATGCTAGAAAAACTTCCAGTGGACTTAAAAAAAAAACAACTTCAAACGGCCCTAAACCAAAAGGGACCTCAGAGCAATATGAGACATTATGTGAATATATAATAGATATGATATAAGAATGTAACTAAGATTTGTACGATAAGTCAACACTATTCTCAGGTTGGTATTGATGTTGTTCATTCTAGACCATCTCCCTGAAAGCGCCGTACGAAACAAATTGTTCATCAATAAAGCTGGAAAACTTTGCCAAATATTCGCAGTCAGGCTGCTTCCATACCTGTATATCAAAACAATTGGCCGATGAGTGTAATTGCCGAGTATTAAGCATGGTCGAGAAAGGTAAAACAAGAAAAATGTACATAAGATAAGGAAATCATTGTTGCACGTTTTGTCACTTTGCAGATATTGATCTCTGTGTGGCCCCTGTGTAGAAGTGACCGGTGTTTAGAGGTAATTGGGAGTATCAGTCGGAGGGGGAGTGAAGAAGCTAGAAATTTTCCCACACGGTTAGTTAACTTATATGAGAGAGAAATGTAGCCATTCCAACTCCTTCCTGATACAAGCAAATACACTCAATTTGGCTGAGGGGTCTTCCCTTAGACAGGAACAGCTGCAAGCCAGTAGAGTCAGGTCATTATACATACATTGTATTGTTGAGTATTACTACTAATTAGTAGTCGTGAGTTGTATTCGTCGTTTGAGTAAATGTGGTCGTTATGCAAAAGTTGCAATGTACGATGGGTAATTTCTCATCATTTCCATTTCTCAAGGTATCAACGTCACAAGATTTTGCAATACAACTGAGATCATCACATGCATTAGCAAAGCATTCAAAAAGTCTCGTAAGTCAGACATTTAATACAGTATTGATAATTATTTCCTATATGCTAATTCAATATCATTAGTTCAAGATATCAGTCCAGTGACGTGTGGTTGTCCTCAAGAATGTGAAGCCATTAAWTACAATGTTAAAACRTCCATCGCCTATTATCCATCTGCCCATCTCTGGGATACTCTACTTCCGATTGTGGCCAAATTGACTGGACACAATTCTTCGGATCCTCAACATAAAATAACACTTCAAACAATTGCAAGGTACTGAAAACTACAATTAAAATGTAGTCCATTTTTCTATCTCTTTAATTCAAAGGTGCTGATTCTACTGATTTTTACCAATTAACCGTTAATAAATCTGCCAGGGATAACGTACATGTTTATTTTAGAAAACGCATCGCTGTAATGACTGTGTTCTATGAAAACCTACTTACAGATGTAACAGAGGAAAAACCTTCCTATGGGATTAGTCACCTTGGCTGTAAGTACCGAGTCGACATGAGAGAACTAGAGTGATCGCATGCAACTGTACAAAATCTAAGTAGTATAAATTTGTACTAAAAGTGGACCTGAAGCGAGACGGTATTGAATGCTTCATTTGTATCAATTCAATTTTATTTGCGTACCACATGCACGATTTACTAAATACAACTAAATAGAACTATTTAGTTTGTACAGTTGCACGGATTAAGTGCGATCACTCTAGGAATGGAGAAATATATTCATAACAATTCAAGGTAATCTCAGAGGGACTAATTTACTGATCAGGGGCGTAGATCTTTGTACGGTGCGTACGTGGAAAAACAGCAAAAATGAGAACCTTTTAAAAAGTCATCTCGAGTTCTTTTCACTTTAGATGCTAACTAACTCAGCTTTAGTGTGACCCTTTTTTGACAACTAATACAAATAAGCTTAAAATAGGACTACGTTACCTAAAAAAACACGCTGATTAGACTAATAGTAATCTAAGATTATATATAATAAAAATTACCTCAAACGAAGGTATTACACAAAACAGTCAACATGTTGGATGACACAGAACACAACACAGTGTACTATCAAGGAAAGTAGGGAGAAACACTGAAAGAAATGGTATAAAATGAAAAAAATAAATATTTTAAAATATATCAGAAAATACTCAGAAAGAAAGCGTTTGATGACACAAGTTCCACCAAATCACCAAACGATAATTACTGAAATTGTTCTTTTTTTACAGCGGACATTGGAGGCAACATGGGTCTGTTTCTTGGATGCAGTCTCTTGACGCTGTGCGAGTTTATTGATCTTATTATTATGGTATGCTTGTACAGATGGAAGAAAATTGCAGTATAAATGACGATAATCACGTGACAAAGCTATTTATCGCACCAAAAGAAATAGCATGTTCTACGTGCAATAATGCAACAACTTTAACCGTCCCTTGCTTGTTATAGTTTAATCAATTTTTATTGCTTGTCTATAGGAAAAGGACATTTTCTTGCTTCTATTGTAAAGCAATAAGAATTTTTTTCAATTCCTAAGCTACTTCGGTTGAATGTTGTAAGGGGTCTGTAAGCATGTATCAGCTGAGCATGCAGATTAACCCTCAGACATGATCAGAGTTTCTCTATATGTGACACTTCTATCTACCAAATTGATATCTAAAAGTTGCCTTTAGTACTATTTATTACATTTCTGGGTGATTTGTCAAAATAACATTTTCTTGTACAGTTAAAACTCTTACATGAATTTCCAGTTCTATTACTAACAAAAAATATTGATCAAAGACATAATCAGTATTGTATATACATGGAATAAATCAATTAAAATCCAGCAATTACGTCAGATATTATTAATCCATTATTAATTCATTTAATGGGGTAAATGGTTGATCTGTTTGCGCAGTTCAACACACTGATCCCGGTCAATAAACAGGGTATTGGCCTTGATGTCAATATCCTCCTCAAGTGATAACTGCCTTCGGATGAGACCCTTCAATGATGATTCTGCTTCAGCAAGTTTCTCTTGTAGTCTTTCAATGTTTGTGCTGATTTCCACCACTTCACTGACAAGACGATATTGCACCCTGTCTCTGCACAGTTCTATGTTAGGACGAGTTGTTCTGTTCTCAATTCGAGTTTGAGCTACTTTCATTGGTGCTTGTTTTGTTGCAATGGCTCTTTTTAGAGTTGCAATGTTCTCTTCCATGGCAGCGATCTCTTCTTTGACCTGAAATATGATATCATATTTGAAATTATATATATAATATCAAAGAGGCAAGATTTTGCTGTTACTCCGAGTTACTCCGACTCGGAGTAACAGCAAAATCTTGCCTCTTTGATATTATATATATAACTAGCTCTACACTTTATGTGTATTGAGCACTCTTTAATGGGATCAGCTACTTCCTCATACAATCATATTTGAAATTATATATTCAACGCCATTCAAACTGTCATATATTAGTTGATTTCTGAATGAATAATTTTCTAACTGTCTGTGATAGGCATTTTCAGAGATGTGTGGGTGCTTTCATAGAAATCTAAGGTGTGTAGACACCATTGCAAAACTAAAACTTTATTTTTTGAAGAAAATACCTAGTTTTCATATGATTTAACCTTGTGCATCTCAGAACTTGTCTATTGTGATGGTTTTCCTATTGATTCTATTGTGCCCTTTGGATGAGCGAGAATTAAGTGTGAAATCTTGTTTAAAAAACTATGCTGTTTGAAGTATTTCTTTATTACCTTGATTAAGTGATCTTCTAGTTTTGTCTTTGACTTCTGGGTTTCTTCAATTCTGTGTTCAAAAGCTAAGTTTACAGCACGACATTGTTTCTGAAGATCATCTAAACTCTGCATCAAGATACCATCTATGATACTTCGCAGGTTGCAGGAGGAGTTATTCTCACGCTCAGCCTTTAATAAATTTTTATTTGAGAATTCTTCCCATTCTTCTGGAGTCACAGAACTATCAAAGAAAAAAAAAAAATAGAATGATAGTTAGAAATCCAAAATAGCAGTTTTTAAGGGTGTTTTGCTGAATTACAGTATGTACAAGTCATATCCAAGGGTGCCCATCCCAGGCAAACCCCAGGCTATATTTTTCCTTCTTAAAGGGAGGGGACTCATAAATTATGTATGTGACCTCTTGGATCAAGATAGTGCTTGGCAAAAAGATAAAAAAATGTGAACAAAACATGTTGTGATAAATATATAATACCCTAAAGTGCACACCTCAGGAATAACAAACAGACCAAAAGCAAAAACACACAACATAACAACAAACTAACAAATCCTCACAAGCACTAAATGGAAGTCAAGCATAGCTACAAAGTATACATCAATTGATTACAGTATTTGCAAGATGTCTAAATGTACTTACTTTTTTTCAATTTTAACAGGGTCTCTCGCATATCCCAGCCCCTGGGATTCATTGTGGAGTGATGCACATGTATTGTCAATGTTGTTAGCTTGAAACTTATCTTTCCTGTCTTTCTCCAGGTAGTATTTGGCTGATCTCAGGAGTCTAAAATCAAGATATCATAAGAATAAAATCTGACAGGTTCCCTCTTTTGACAATGGGGAGAGTGAAAGTCAAGTTGCTTTGAGCATTATTTTTGGTATTGGTTTTTCACTTCAATTTTTAGTTTATACATAGAGATATCTCAAACTAATTACCTTGTCTGCTCTGTGGCCTGTTCAATGGTTCTTTTTAGTAAAGCTTGTACACCTTCAATAACTTCAACTTCCTGTATAATAAACATTCCACCACCAGATCAATCATACTGCATAACAACACTAACAACAACAACAAAGTACAACAAATACCTTCAACAACTGCATTTCAACATTATCATGAACGAGATCAACTCCTTGTCGCTTTTCTCTGTTGACAAGGCATTGTTGGGCTATCATCAAGGGTAGTTCAGTGTCAGCCAAAGCTTTAGCTAGCCGGCTTTTGAAATGAAGCATCGTTTCAATCTCGTTTGAAGTCGCCTGGTGTTGGTTGTCTAATTCGGATTTCCAGAAATCAATATCGTTTATACGTTGCTCGAGTTTCTTGTTGACATCTTGCTGAGTCTCTACAGTTCGAACTTCAATCTCAACTCGCAGTCTTTCGCTTTCATCACGAAGCCTCTCTGCGGCAGCACGTTCTTTCTCGGCAGTGAAATACTGTAGATGATTTGAGGCGTGCCATTCTTCAGGGACGTACTTTGGCGGTGGTTGAACGAGTCTTGCCATTCTATCAGTTATCTAGGATGCTTTTAAAAAAGTTTAGAGGAAGAACATTCACTTGATTAGCACTAATTCAAGAGGAACTATTTCTGAAACTTTTGTTGCTGTGTAGTGTACACACTCTTTGCTTTGTTTCGTGCGTCTCTAGGCAACAACAAAGACTCGTGATTGGTCTGTCCACATTCCATGCGCCAGCAATCAAAGAACAGCGGATATCCATAATCCAAGATGGCCGAAAGACGTGACGTGAAATTAGGCGAGCTATTTCTCTCGGCTAGAAGGCTTAGATTCCTGCAGTGAAGTCGCAAGACGAAATACTATTGCAGAGTAAAGTGTGTGGAAAATATCCAACGTTGTTCTTAGGAGCTGATGTGCTTGGTAACTGCTCGATTTCAGTTCCTAATTTACCAAGGACTCATGCTCGATATGCCAAAAAAGGACTTAGCACCAAAATTAATTTCCCAAATTCTGTGCGAATCAGTGGTATACAAGGTACATCGAATGGCGTTTGGTTCTACAACATACAGGGTTTGTTTAAAGTTGCCTTTGAGATGTACTCTCGAGAAGAACAGCTCGAAATATTGCAGAGATTACAACCTCTATGGACGATTCGATTCCAAGACGAGTTACTGAACGAAGTCACTCATCCTTCACACGTGAATGAAGATGAAGTATTTGTACAAACTGTAAATCAGGGTGAAGCCTCAACAAGCACAGATACAGTGACAAAGGGCAACCAACTGGAAAAAAGCCCAGTGAAAGATCATAGACAACATGAACTTGAGAAAAAGTACATAGATTTAAAAAAGGAAATTAAAAACTTTATGAATCTAAATATAAAGCAAAGTAAATACAATGAATGTGATAATGTTATGTCAACCCTATTGGATATACTTTGCAGTTACAAATCAATGGCCACTGATGTGGAAATTGATGATCAAGAAAGATGGTTGTGTACTGTGAGTCAGTGGGTTGGTAGGGAGTTTAAAAAACACAAGAACACCATTGAAAGTAATGCCACAGAATTCAAGAAAAAACACATAGCAGCAATAAATAAATTACCACCAGCTGAAGCTTTGATTAGAGAAATATTCCCAACTAGTATGATAGTATTGCTGAAAACATGGATGGACATTGAGGCTATGAAAACAGAATCTGAAAAGTGGTTACCATTCCCACTTATGCAGCTTATACTAGAGTTTGCTAACCAAACTTTGGTATCTGGGGTATCACATGTGTTATACTCTAGGCTAGTGCGTACTGACAGTGTGTGATGCTATATTTCTTATAGTATAATATACCCAGTAGGGTATTGTTGGCACCAATACTCCAAGTTCAAATGGATTACTGCTGTTTTATTGGACAGATTCTTATCTAAGATCAAATACAAGTAAACCAAATGTCTCTATGACAGCAGCCTTAAAAATTAACCCTTTCTTCCTAAAAAGCCAAAGATTTTAAGGTTTTAGCCTTTTGGAAATACAGCATAAAACTCATCTCACTGTAAATACAAATTGTTAGGGCTATGGTGATTACATTTTGTATAAAAAGATACATTTAGCACCATAAAAAATAGGTAAACTTACTGACGTTTTTGGATGTTAATCCTTAGCCAGGCAAAAGACTGACATCTGAAATGTCAGTAAGTTATTTCAGCTACTTTTTTACGGTGTTATATTTATCTTTTTACAAAACTCCGACGCAGCTCACACTAGTTCATTTTCATATTGACATTAAACATTGCATAACAATATGTAGTCAAGAAGTTTATCGCATGTAAGAAGACTAGGCAGGGCGATCAAATTGAAGTAGGACACTTTTGTCTCTCTTCACCTAGGTGTGCTATATCTGTTTTAGCATTTGGTGAGGTTACAGTTAATTGCATTAAAGTATAGCCACTGTCAATGTAAATATATATTACCTACTTTTGGGTTAGGCTTTGCAGATTTGCACTGCAGTTCATATGATCTGAACTACATCTAACAGATCAGGTCGCTTCCTTTTCAATATAGACAAAATATATGAACATTCTATAAATAATTATATGTTTAATTGTTATTTATAGTTGCGTCTAGATTATATGTTCATGTTTGTAAGGTTCTCTTGTGCTTGTTTTTGTACATGTAACTATGAGATTATATCAGAGGACAGAAACACATGCATTTGTTTCACATTCCCTTTTTATACAGTTTATAAAATTATCCTTTTTACTATCAACAGCAATAAATAAAATATATCTATATATACATATATACAGTGAACCTTACTCAGAGTAACTCCATCTATTCTTGACATAATATTAAAACTGCCTCACGATCTGTAACCTATTTCCTCTGGACCTCTTTCTTGTGCATCTTGTATTTCTGACATCTCATCAAATTGATGGAGGTGAAACTTGTTAACCTGATATTCTGTCATCCGTTTGATTGCCCGGTATCCTTGAATTGTTTCAAACACAACAAACAAAACCAACAAAATGTTCATAGCTCTCTCTGTGGGCATAATCAACATGCTTTCATTGAACAACAAAAGAAATGAAAGGGGCAACTGCAAGACCAAAGTCAGAAGCCAAAATCCTGCAAGCTCTGGAACCTGAAATATGGTAAAAAGTACTGTAAATTTACCATAAATAGAAACATGTAAAAAAAGATGATACAAAATGTAAACAGTTTGTACAAGAATGGATGTGTCACTCAAGGAAATAATAAAGGTATTGTTCTTGCAAAATACCTTTTCTTGAAGGTTTCCGATGTATCCCAGATAAAGTCTTGTTGATTCCACAATAGCCATAACAGAGTAAACGGCGATTAAGACAAATTTGTAATAAAAGTCTAGACTTTGATACTGTAATAAAATCAAGTGATATGTCAATAGTTGTGCTTCGTTAAATCAATAAATATTCGAAAGTCACTTCAACTTACTTTAGCTGAGAGCATAACTATAGCAGTTAGAAACCAGAAGGGAGAAAAGTAAACGTTGAAGTAAAGGGCCATCTGAAGCGGCAGGTTTGACACAAGTTCATTTCCTGAGAAACAAGACAGATAAGAATATGTTTTATCAAGCCTTCTAGTACAGCACTACCCTGGTTCCAGAGGTTTCTCTGTGTTATTTTCTGTGTAAAATATCTCTGTTCTTCAAGAGCTCGAAGAACAGAGATATTTTACACAGAGAATAACACAAAGAAACCTCTGGAACCAGGGTAGTGCAGCACATAGGAAAAATACTGCTCTGTTGTCAATTGTTTTTCAATTATTGTAGCATTAAATTGCAGTATCTACTTCTTATCCTGTTATTTCAAATAGTTTTTATATAATTTGTTTAACTTACATAAACAATTTAACCTATACAAACAATGAAGGAAGAATTTTGGTATGAAGATGTAATGTGTAGCAATCACCATGACAACAATAAAAGATGTGCAATAAATTTTTTTCCCAAGTTTTGCGGTCTAGAAACTTCTGTGTAATTATTACAGTACAATAGCAAAATTCATTACTTTACGCAGGGATAAATAACCTTTCATCTTATGTGCTAAAATCTAGGGGGTATATGAACGCCCTTCTCACACACAGGAAAAAGCTTATTTTTGACGAAGCTACAGGATAAGATTTAAAACCATACCAGCATTTATAAGATGGTGTCTTGGATATTCTCTTATAGATCGAGACATCGGGAAAACAGTCTCTGTTACGGAAGTAACTGCCGATCGCAAACCTCGTCCAATATTCGCCGCCATTTTTTTAAAGTTTCTGGTTGTTTTTGGTATGCTGTCCCGTCATGCACTGTCCTTACTATCCCCAGAATGCTTTGCGGGTTAAAAAGTTCCATAATGCTATTCGGTCATTATCCAAGATGGCGCAGATTACTTCAAGGATGTTTCTTGGAGGTAGTCGTGTAAAGTTAGCCTTTTTCTATGTTAATAATATAAATATCACATTTATATTTCCTGTTTTTCGATCTAACTTGCTGATTTTATTTGCTTTTATATTAATTTTTTATTTCCATACAAAATTCAGGTCGTATTACGGCTATCGGAAGGCAAGCAGTTCGTCCATTTTCATTGAGCAGTGCTGAAAATGCCTACAGTAAGTGGTATTATAAATGTAGTTATTGTTTAGTTTATGTTCTTTTTTATTATTATTTTATTTCTGTGCTTAGGATATGTCACAAAAGAACACCATGATACACCTTTGGATATGAACACATCGACAGATCGTAATGCAACAACGCTGTTTTTCAGTGAACTCTTACGTGGTGAGACAAAAGCTTCAAATGTTGTTACATAAATTATCATAAAAAGAGTGGTATGCTATAAAATACCTCAATCCAGTATTCGAGCACTGTAACTGTGGTTACTAAATCCCAGTTCAGACAAGCAGCGCAAATGCAAGCGTAATTGCAAATGTACCACTTCACACATTGAAAATGCTAACAAAAATGCAAATTTAAGTGCATTTCCATTACTTTCGTTAGTTGTTTTCCCCACATTCTACATTCATTGTCACCAAAATCTGAGAAGAAAACAATCCAATATGTTGATTTGTTATTTGTAGGTCTTGCAATGACATTAAGTAAAATGTTTCAAGAACCAGCAACCATTAATTACCCATTTGAAAAGGGTCCACTGAGCCCAAGGTTCAGGGGGGAGCATGCTCTAAGAAGATATCCTTCAGGAGAGGAAAGGTGTATTGCATGTAAACTCTGTGAGGCTATTTGTCCTGCCCAGGTGAGAAATATTTTTTTTCTCTTGCAGCACTAAGTAGTAAGCTAGTGAAGATTTAAAGAGACCAGGTGATTGGTGCACTTGCACGAGGAACGCCTGGTGGATTCAATGAAGGAACCATCACATGATTCAGCGCACACATATTATCGTGGTCTAGAAGAAGAATTCAATCATCTACTGCGTGAAGGGCAAAATTTAATCTTTTAACTTAACATATGGGCCGGTTTCTTAAGTTAAATGATTAAATTTTGCCCTTCACGCAGTAGATGATCGAATTCTTCTTCTATACGCCGGTCACCTGGAAGACATTATGATTTGTGTCAATACTCATGATATTGTGGTCTGGTTTTAAAATTTAAGTGAGTAATATTTATTGATAATCAATGTCTTTTTTTAAGGCAATAACCATTGAAGCAGAGGAGCGTGCTGATGGTAGTCGTCGTACAACACGCTATGATATTGATATGACAAAGTGTATTTACTGTGGATTTTGCCAAGAAGCATGTCCTGTTGATGCCATTGTGGAGGTGAGACAACTTTGAGATGTAATTGCATCATACCCCTGTCCTAGAAGTCACTTTCAATCTAAAGGAGACATGGTACTTATAGGCATTTGTAATTTGACAATGCAAATGTGATGATATCAACCCAGGAATACTAGTTATTTTCAAATTTAAAGCAAGGGATCACTGGTTTATTTGGCGACAGATTCTCTTGCACAAAGACCTTGCCATAAGAAAGCCACAAAAACTGTCATTATTACAATAGCCTTAAAATTTTGCAACTTGGGGAGAATGCAGACTTTCAAGGCTATTGTAATTGAAGTATTTTGTAGTCTTTCTTTTGTGTTTGGTAAAATCTTTAATTAATAATCCATTTATCAATTTATTTTCATTTTTTCTGTTTATTATTGCCTCTATTAGTGCATTTTCATGTGATCATTAATTCATTCATCCCATTCCATCCTTTTATTCTTCCATCCTAAATATCCATCCATCCATTCATTCCTTTATGATTTACGTGATGAATATTGCTATTAACAGGGTCCAAACTTTGAGTTTTCCACTGAGACTCACCAGGAGCTTTTATACAACAAAGAAAAACTATTGAATAATGGAGATAGATGGGAAACAGAAATTGCTGCGAACCTTCAAGCTGACTTCCTATACAGATAGACTCTTTTTTAACACTAACATTATATGAGTTTGGCTGAGAAATTATTTTATTTGCTTGTAATAAGAGTGATATTGATATACTCTAATACTCTAATATTTGTATAAAGGTATTTGTCAGTCAAAAAGATGACTTGATTACAGTTCAGCTGACATGTACAGCTTTGCAGATGAATAGAAAAATCTGTCAACAAACGATCTTTGTGAATAAAGTGCTCTAATAATTCAGATGTAAAAAGATATGTACGATTTATCGTCCTGTACCCATGCGCTATTGCTTTAGGTACCGTGCCGCTGTTCGTACTGTGTCATTAATTCATGCAGCCATGTAATAAGTATTTATTATTTTATAAGTGGCAGAGGCAGTAAACTCCAATTTAAATTTTTTAGTCCCTTTTCTGGTATTTTTAGCATCAAGGGAAAGGCAAATCAACATCAAGGGAAGGGCAAATCAACATCAAGGGAAAGGCAAATCAACATCAAGGGAAGGGCAAATGAAAATCCACTTGCCATCAAACCATTTGACGAGTTTTTCAAGGCTTTTCAGATTTTAATAAGTTTTCTCTATTGCTACATTGTTTAGTTTCTCATTTTATTTAACATAGAATTTCCTGTTTTTGCCTGAATCAAGACAATTGGAGTCTAATGTATTGAATTCATCCACCCTTAACATTCACGTTAATGGCGAACCTCCAACGTTCATTTGGCTTTGATGCTTGTCAAGCAAACGTAAAAGTCCCTTCGAAGAAATAGTTATGTTCTCATGCAAGAAAAACGATCTCATTAAAATACGAACACAAACAAACAGAAAGTAATTCTAGAAAAAACCGTGGTCACGTGATTTGTTTTGAGGTTTGATAGTAATGTTGAACCTTAATCTCTTTCATATACGTACTTCGTAACTCTATCGACGCCTTCGTACTTGTAATTTAACAATTGTTAAATGTAAATAAGGGTGAAGTTTGGTCATGTCGCTCCGTTTTCGAAACCTCATGTTTGAATTTTAGGAAAAATCACCCAAAACGATGACCGTATCACTGAGCTTTAAGATTTGGGTTATTCTAAATTTGTGAAAAGTGGACACTTACGCGTTTTGATCATTGAAAATAATATCCAGATTTGATGTTTTGTATTCTCATACAAAATTCGTTAGTACGTGGTTAGATCTTAATTGATTTTTTTGTCGATAACAAGGGTGGCCCTATTCAGCTCCGAGGGTTTGTTCAATTATGGTTTGTTTAAATTGTTTAAATTGAAATATTTACAAAAGCTAGAATTTTGCTATTGGTTTATTGGTAATGGCATGGGTCATTAATCTATCTAAATGTTCATGAAGAAGGTGATTTTGGCTTAATAAGTTGAACAAATTAAAACAATTAGTAGAATTAATGCCGCGAAAAGGATTGTGACTCGTAACATTGGCAATAGGTATTTTCATGCATCCCGGTTAGTTTGACTTGGCCATTTAATATTAATTTAAGTCTATAAAAAGCTTCTTGAGATCATTATTACTGGGAACTAAGTTGGACGTTAATTTAAATCAATTAAAAAAGACAAAGTTTAATTTAAGGGTTCAGTGATCCTCTATAGATTCGTTAAGAGTTATAATCTTGATTACATTGTCTGAATATAGTTTTGACTAGCTTAGTGTTTAAAGTAGTAAAAGAGTTATCAAGTTACTAATAATAACAACGGATAATCTAGCACAACATACGTTTTCGTTTTTCTATAATATCGATATAATACAGTCGGCTTAGAAAGGACTGGTAGTAACAATGACTCCCTGGTTCAAAAAAGTCTCATCATTATTTATCAAAAAAATGAATAAAAACATAATTAGAATCTTAATTTAGAGAGCTATTATCTCGGTTAACTAACATTAACATGAAAATTAAGAAACCACTGCCATAACTTTTGCTAAGTTTCCGAATGTTTGCCAGTTGTTAACGTTCCACAAATTGAAAAAAAAAAGAAAGAAAAAGAAAAATAAGAAAAGAAAAAAATCCCGACTGAAGTAATTTATTCTGGGGCGTTGGCTATAATTGTTTGAAATTATTTGCAAATGAATAACACTTTTTTTATCAAATAAAACCGTGAAAGATATAATTAGAATGTCTTCCTAAAATGTCCAAGTTCGATTACTCATAAGTTTCCCCGAGAAGTCGTTTTTGCGTTGACATGGCAAAACACATATAAACTTTAATTGTCTTATTGACTTGCTCCACATATCTTCTATCATACAACACCTCATTTCATTGGTTATTTACACATTCACGTGATTTCACCTTTTATACGAAAGATTTTGATTGGATATCATTCAAGCAGGTGTTTTCGTTAAAATTTCCTCATTTGAATTTAACCTTCACACGAAAGTGACCCTCAAAACACTTTGCATAGTACAGTTTTCTCGAAGTCAATAAAACTGGCTGATATCGACGTAAATGTGTTTTCGGGGACGCGGAATAATAACGAGTTTTCGATGTCAAGTAACGAGGTGAGTTGCAATTTTCGTTCCCTATTTTGAAACTTTTAAAGACTGGATATGATCTGACTGCTAGCAGTACATCGATATTTTGTTTAAAGTTTTTGTGTAGCAATCGTTTCTATAATTTGAACTAAAAGAAGACTTCATTGTACTAAACTGAATAATAGCCACTGTTTTTACAAGGCACAACGGTTTTTTAAAAACGCAATGATCATGCACTAAAAACCTTCTAAACTTGAAAAGTTTTTGTTGCAGCTACAAAAACTGAACCAGTACACTTGAAGACTGGTAAAGCTTGCTTCTTTTCGTCGAACATGCAATAATTCATCGGAATTCAAAAAAAAAAAAAAAAAAGAGAGAGAGAGAGAGAGAGAGAGAGAAACATGTAAATGAAGTAAACAAAACATAAAATAAAATAACCCAAAGGTAAAATCATTTTACATTATATTTTTTGAGAAAACTTCGGTTGCATAGCTTATTAAATAAAGTAAACAAAACACAATATCTCAGGGCACAATCATTTCATATTCAGTTTTTTAAATCTTTGGATATCTTACCTTTTGCCTGCGGGTTGTCTTTTTTGGTTTAAGCAATTCGTAAAAGAAAATGAAAAAGCTCCTATAATATACAATGAACAATTGTTTTTATATCGAAAGGATCAGTAACAAGGGAACTAGTGGTAACTTAGCATTTTTATCAGCCAGATGGTAAAAAAACCTTGACTGCTTCAAGTGCAAATAAATCAATTTGGAAAAGGTTTGTTAAGACTGATTCAAACAGCACCGTTCTATTCACAAAAAATATCAATCAAACAGCAAGAAATTCTCAATTTAAATTGAAGTTTCTTCAGCGGTAACCTGCTGGTAGGATTTAAGGTCATTCAGTTTTACCCAGCCTTTAATTCCACTCGATAAATAGTTAATGCAGTATTCTAACATTATCCGTCGCGCGGCCATGTTGTTCACCAGAAAGCTCTGGAAGTGCCTTAGCTTAGTTTATAATCAGTAATGTCTACTAATAAAACTATAAATTACTAAGAAATGCAATTATGACCTAGTGATCGAAGAGATGAAAAAGAGGCTGATTACATCAATATTGTACAAATAATTCATATAATCTACGAGTTAGATTACATCATGTAACAACACAGATATGACAATTTTTTACTAATATAAAATAATTGCAATTATAAGAAAAAAATTGTCACCAAAATATTGTCTACAGTTGGTATGAGAAGATACTGTCTTGGTCATCATCAGACAACTATATCTATAGTGAATCCTGATTCCCAGTAGCCATTATCGAGGCTACCTGTCTGAGATTTTATTTTTCATGCGCATGTCGATTTAGCTTTTGGTAGATTTTTTTATTTTTGCTGCTGTTCCTGTTGTTTTCTGTTTGTTTGCTTTTTTGTATGTGGTTGTTTAATTCTTTTGCTATCAAAAAGATGCGAGAAAGTTTCCACAAACTTTCAAATGAAAATGAATAATGAAACGCTCACAACAGTCACAATGCAAGCAGAAGGTGTAATATTTGTCATATATGCTCATTTGGGGACAGACTCGGATAATATCTAAAATCATTCCATTTTTCTTGAAATTTGTTGTATTTGGATTTTAAAGGAGTTTCTAAACTTCATTTTAGAAGATGTCAAATTACTTATAATCCTCCTTTGACGCACAGAACACACAAGAATTGGTTGAGGAAAACTAGTTTCGTCTTTAATAGTAGAGGAATTGAAAAGGTCTAAGTAAAGACGAAACTAGTTTTCCTCAACCAAGTCTTGTGTGTTCTGTGCGTCAAAGGAGGGTTATAAGTATTTTGACATCTTCTAACATTCCATTTTTAATATCTTTTTATACTGATTAGAACCTGATATTCCAGATATCATTCCTGATCTAATAGAAAGCCATTAGGCTGTGTCAACACAATGACACTTAATAAACACTACTACATCACTAGCAGACTTATAACCGACGGCTCACTGGTCGCAGTTTGAAATTACTTTATTTATACTGGCATCTAAATAGTAAAAACAAAACAGTCGCCCAGCAGGCAGTACCGATAGGTGTACTGAGTTTCAATTGTTCCCGATAAGCTTGCGTCACACAGCTCGACTTTTAAGTGTTTCTCCTGTGACAATAATTCTGACAAGTTGATTTGTGATCAAATTTAATTAAAAGCATAAAAAGTGGAAGAAACTTTTTAAATTGATCGAATTTGAAATACACGTTTTCTTCATACATGTTTGTTTAACTATTTGTTTTGACTATCAAAGGGAACAGAGGACTAGAACTGACTACAGCTTTCTACAAAAATACTTTGAACATTCTTTTTTGGTCTCGCAATCAAAAAATAACAATAAAAAAAAGGTAAAAAAGGGACGAAAAAAGAAGAGACAAAAACCTATTCCCAGCAGTACTTGAATTTAATAATTGTTAATAAATATTATCTAATTATAACGTTGAAATGGAGATACGTGGACCTTAGAAAAAAGAGTTTGGGGAGATATTCCTTATTGCCTTTTAGTGTGTAGTTAACCTGCGTACATCCGGTTTAAGAGCGCTGGATGAAACTCGGGCTATAGTGTAGTTTACCCTTCAGTTTTATCCTTCAGGCGGTTGCACAGTTATAAGCAATCAATGTTGCGATTACTGCGCGTATTATTCATTTTCAATAAACCTAAGTTTCTTATGATTGTTCACACGAAAAACATCATCGTTTTCAAAAAGGGTTTTAGAAATTATCCACTTTGAAAAGCTTAAAAAATATGCGGGTACTGCCATCATTTTCGTTCTTAACGCATGAAAAAAATTCATGCATCCGGTTTTGAAAATATCTGGATACGCGTAAATGAATTAAGCGATTGTTTCTAGTTGGGGATCGAGAGGAAATGGGGAGAAAGTGTACAGAGGATATAGTCACATGTCTTAACAAAAATCCGGCGGTGTCGAGCCCAAATTTTTATAATTGCATCTTAGTTATGACATTATTCCTACACCCACTAACATACACATCACACTACTTCTTACTAGTGCTGCAAAGTGCCTGATATATGTTCACCTTACTAGTATCGGGTTACTTGGCTCAGTTAACGACGTCCTTTTAATGTTGCATATTAATGGTATTTTTTAGTATGTGTCATTGCCGATGAAAAAGATGCCTCCTACACTAGAACAAGATAACAAAATGGACGACATACCAACGGAACCGATAGAAAACGGCGACTATCAGGTAACGCTTCCATAACAAGTGCGCTCACGTAACTTCATAATATACTTTTATCCCTTACACGATAGTAATATTTGTCGATGTAAGATGGTTTAAAACAAGCATAATATCCTGATACTAATGTGCATACTTACTTCGAAACCTGTCTCCAAATTTCGTTGAGAACTTCAATAATACTATTATAAGGTAAAAATCGTGGGAACTAAAGGCAAACTAGTGTGAGATGCGTCGTTTTTGTAAAAAGATAAATTTAACACCGTAAAAAGTAGATGAAATAGTCACTGACGTTTCGGACGTTAATCCTTCGTTAATCCTTTGTCAATAAGAGAGTCCAACAACCAGCAGGCTGAATATTAATGCTCCATATAGATGTGGTTATGGAGTGGCTCATCGGTACGACCATAGTTAATATTAACTATTGATACGATGAATAACATATGTGTCTAGCTGCTAATGCTTGTGCCTGCGATGACTGATTAGCCCATGTGCGCGATCTAAGAGCAAACACACTGACATTCAACGAAAGCAAACATGGCTATCAACCTGGAAACGATAGGCTATGGAATCTGCCGAGTTTATCCATAGGCCGCCCAACTATTGCTTTAGAGACAGTAAAGAACGATTGCGCACTACCTGTGTCACGTCACGATCCCGTGGTAGACCCGCGAGGCACGGGATCGTGACGTAGTACCACAGGTAATCCGCCTGTTGATAAGAGCCTGCTCCGATAACATAAAGATCTAAAAGCATGCGCAATCGTTCTTTTCTTTCTCTAAAGAAATAGTTGGGCGGCCTATGGTTTATATTGCACTATAACCGTAAAATCTCTCTGGGTTCGACTTTATTCCATAGTATTAGACCAGCTGGAAGTGAGTCATTGTCAGTGAGAAATGAAGGCCGTATAATAGAGTCCCACACAGGTGCAAAATGAGTCGTGAAAAACAAATTAATCATTTCTCAGATACGTGATAGCAAAATGTGGCAATTGCGAACACTTAGTTAAGATAACTAATCACGTGCCCGCTCTGAAGTGGCTGTGAGTGACTGTACTTGAGTAAACTAAATTGTTTCATTTATTCACTCAATAAAATTAGCGGTAAATGCCGCTCGTTACATCGTCATAATGGAAAACGAATGACGCGATACGCATTCAAATGAAATGACATGAATACAATCATTTTGATACGGTTTCGATATACGGACGCATGTTCGTCGCTAGCTTTTCCGCCAACTGACGCGGATCGGAAATCATCTTTTAGAAGGTCTAGCAGCTTGTGATTGAGGCGTGAAATTTGAAGTTTTTTGAATTCTTGAAATGAATCGTGCTTCACAACCCCACCATTAACCACATCGTTCGATGTTGCTTTAATTTCATGATCGTAGTTAATAAGTCACGAATTGTTGTTGTTTATAGAAAAAATGACTGTGTTCCGGATACAATATCCTAGGATGTCTTATTTAATAGCTTCATTAATTGTCATTGGTTGATTGAATCAATTTAACGTGGGCACATCCCAATCACATCCGTGTACGTAGAGGGGCTTTGCTCAATTATTCAAATCACAATTGTAAAAATCGATCTTTGTAAAGATGCGGTTGCATTTTGTTTGTTTGTCCTTAGAGCCTGTCCTTTTTATCATTTTGCCAGAAAGGAGAAATTAGAACATTGTCGAAAGCGCTCTACTCTGCTATGACGCAAAACTCGAGAACAACAGAAGCCCGGCTGAGTGAGATTCCTTAGAACTACTTATGTTTGAATTGTACCATAAAAGTTGTTCAGTGCTGTATGCTTACAAGCCCACACAGCATAACTTTTTTTTGTTTTAAATTTCCAACTTCTTTTTTCACTTGAAGCAATTAGAAGACTGTCATACACGGCTCTATGATAAATCACAAAAAAACTGATCTCATTGCTTTGCTGATTAAAATCTCTTTATATTAAGTGGCCATTATGGTTTATTAATCTTATCTCAAAACATCACTTAAGGGAGTTTGATAAGGAGGTTGCGCGTTAACTTGAATGCCGCATGGTTCAATAATCATTACTTTGTGAAGAATTACTTGGGATAGAACGTCATATACCATCGTTTTACACGCTGTGGAATCACTCAACGGAGTGAGATCAGTTTAAAATGAAAGCAGTAAGAAAAAGGGAGGGTTATGATTCTCGGATAACCGAGGAAGACAGAAAAGACAAATTCTCTTTTCAAAAACACTCTTCAAGCAAGAAACTTCTGTATGTAGACAAACCATCGATGGTTACACGTGTATACAAGGTAAGCCAACATAAAAGGGAAAAAAAAATTGGACTGAACAAGGCAAGGCTTGAGGTTAGGCAATATTACGCACGCATTTTCACTTTCTTTTTTAAATAGCTTGAGGATACCACTACAAATCGAGTTATATTTTTCAAAGCTCATTTTCTAAAGCTCTTGTAAATAAATTAAGCTTTTATTTTGCTAAAATGCGCACTGAATGCAGAGTATTTCCGCAAAAACGTGAAAATGAGATGTAATCTGCAAATACGCGAAGAAGCCAGATCAGTTTTTGTTTAACGTATTTTTACTACATGCCAATTTAGTCAATATCATTCGACTAGAAACAAATAAAAAAGAAACAACTGATCTCGCTTTATAAGACTACAAAATCAATAAACAAAAACTTTAAAAGAAGCCACTATGACACACGATATTTAGATTTATACAAACAGGTCAAAAATTATATATTGCAAGTGACATTATTCAATCAACCCGATTGTCCTCATCGCCTTTTAAAACACAAATTTCTCTGTGACAAACAGAGCAAAATGCAGAATTTTTTCAAAAAAAATCACATTTACTTCGCATCATCAGTTAACTTGGATTTTGTTTGTCTTTTATTTAAAATTTTGAGCGATTTTGTCTCAAAATTTTACAGGGCACATCCCATATCGTAAGTACTAGTACACAAAGCTAGTTGAGATACTGTAAACTCTTGAACTGACTCTACTGGGTTCATCTATAAAGATATAGGACGGACTAGCTCTAGTGCAAATGAGATGCTGCTATCGAGCAGTGATATTTCAGCCTCGGGCCCTCACGTTCAGATGATTAGCCATTATTTTGAACTGTGAAAGCACATCAAATATTATTTGTTTTGTTTGGTTATCTTTGTTTGAGTTATCCTTTGTTTTGTCGCTTTTGCTTTGCTACACTTTGTCTAGCTTCATTTATTCAAGCTAAGTTTTGTTTAGTTAGGTTTTGCTTTGTTTCATTTTGCTTAGTTCTTGTTTTATTTAATTATATTTTGATTGGCAAGGGCGACTGGCCTTGAATCATATCCATTCAGTGAGCTACGTACTCACAAATATTCTTGTCACGAATTGATCATTCTTAACGTCAACATGACGTAACGATAACATCAAGTAGTCCATCATCATTTTCTTTTATTTTAAGCTTTTTTTCTCGAATACACTTTCTTCTTTCAGACTAGCCAGTTTCTTTTTAGTATTTACTTTTTTTCCTGTCTCATATTTTTCTTAAATTAATCTCTTTCTTTTTAGCCTGTCAATTCTTCTTCTCTTCTCTACCAGCTTCTACCTTACGTATTATCTAGACAAATAGTGTAAAAATGGAACAACCGTCTAGTCAACGGCGATACACAATGTTATATTATGCAAACATATTTAATATTATTTATGTTATAAATGTATGTTTGCGACCAAGTATTACAAAAAGCAAACTCACTTCACTGTGTTGGTGCCATAGCAACGCATAAAAATAGACTATAAGAGAGAACTACTGCGCATGTTCGCAAATAACGCGAAACACTAAAAGGTCTTTTAAATGAGCCCCACAAACGATTGATACCAATCTTGAGGTAGATATCCACAGATTGACAGATCATTATATCGTCATAGCAACCGTACACATACAACTAATATTTTCAAATTTGCATTTTTGCGACTGAAAATAACGTTGGAAAACCTAGTTTTTTGGATGTTTTATCTAACAAGAATGCCTACACGAAAAAATTTCACATTTATAAAATTTATATGATGAATGTCAAGAAAACTTTTAAATCTTGTCATTTCTGAATAAGTGTCGATTTGCGTTGGTCGGTTTTCATAAGTGATTATGATTGAAACAAGATAGGAATATTTTTTCGATATTGTACTGATAATTTTTATTGTTTTGTAAATAAGTTGGTATTTTAAAAAGATGAATATCTATTACTTCAAAGTCGCCAGTCCTTTTTTTGGATTCCATGTCTAATGCGGGAGCTCAATGGTCTTTGGTTAGTATCCTTGCCATAAAACTTTTTTTTCAGGTTTCTGGTTGATTCTGTCACGTGCTGAAGTACATTGGGAAGCCATGCAGCCTTTAGAACAAATAATCAGAGATTTGTTTAATTTATAAGCATCGTTCAGTATACAAACTTGTTGTTATATACATGTATAGTGTTGCTAATTTGACGAACATAAATACTTGACCGACATCCAGCATGATTCCCGCCTCAACATTTCCTTTTCAGTTCAAGGCTGCGTTTTTATAGTAATGAAGTGACAATTACATGCCATTCTCAATCTAAAATTCGTTCTAGCTGAATGTACTACTGTTTTCTAGCAATAATACGAGCTAATACGAGTATGAATGGTCTATAGCACAGTTGGAAGACAGACTAATTGTACCGTTATAATGATGTTCACCATGCAGTGTAATATGTACGAGTCTTTTATGTATAAAGTGCAAGTGACATTTAGCTTGGAAAGTCCCTTCCCACAATATATAACACTATAGATGAATATTATCATCAAACTTCGACTTTTTGAAGAACTACAAGCAACGGTTTTCATTCAAACTAAACAATGAATTGTTTATTTTTGGCTAGAAGAGGGCTAATAATACCTACACATCGTGCTTGTAAAATAAAACGTGATAGCATCAATTGAGTTTAATATTTCCAGTTGACTTCAAGTAGATCCATTCTTCCCTCATTGATAAACGGTTGCGATAGCGTCAACTAATAATTACCGTTCTCGACTCTCTTTCAGTTCAATAAACGTACAGACTGTGTTGTTTTGACCAGCCTAAACACCGCCGACTTTTTCGATAATTAAGCTCTTACTTTTAACTACTACTTTATTTTCTGTTACTTCCTTTTGATCTAAATACACAAAAGTCTTTTACTACCTAAACTGGTGTTTTCACAATAAGAATACGACCGAACAGTACGTGTTTAAACATCATATTTCACATGATGACAAAACTTGTTTGGCGTATCTATACTAATCAGCGAAGACCTAAAACAGCTAGCAGGAATCGAAATCCATATTTGTTTGCGCAGGTGATCCATACGATTGTGACATTTGACTTTCAAATTTTCCTGCTATGAGGCGGCTTACAGTAAGTTTGCTAAACGTCTCCATGACAACTAGTTTCATTCTTGAAAAAAATCATCTGCCCTTTTCATTAATTTCGACAAGAAACGGTGTCTCATGACGAGTGAAAAAATATGCCGGGGGAAATCTCACTGCTTTATTGAAGTGGATTCTATTTGACAGGATTTTCTATCTAGCGAAGTTTGTTATTCCGGGGAAAAAATATCGTCAAGCGGTGATTGGATACGGAGCCCGCAGCTGTACGTTTTGACCAATGCGCTGTTATATTGAAAAAGAAAAATTGTTTTATTCATGACAAATCCATGTTTTCTGACTAAAAGTTAGCAACCATTTTGCGATAAAGATCGCTGTATCCCACGACGCGAAAGTCAACTAAATCATACATCAAATGAAAGGTCACTTTACCGTTTTCAGTAACATGTAGTCTGGTTTCGTTCCTCTAGGAAAATATGACTGGAGGCCGCAGTCCAACTGGAAGTACGCGTTCACAGAGTAGTGGATTTCGTGAAAGTCCCTCTCTTACAGAACCATTTCCAAAGAAGTCAGAATGTTTATTTCCCGTTCTTGCTATGCATATATGTCCAAAATGTGAAGAAATAATGCGCTATCCTGTTCAGATTAAAGCTTGTGGTCATCGATTGTGCTATGGTTGTTACAAGAACCTCTTAAGGTAAGTCGCTCTTTTTCCTGGATATATTCAAAGAGTTCCAGATTTTTATTATAAAAACCTAAAAACGCAATAAGTTTAAAACCAGCCGTTCGAGTAAGTCAAAGTGCTATAGACATCGAATCATCTTTATTCTAATAGCAAAAAACACATATATTCATTAATTTTACAAAATTCCTCTTGAGCTATCGGTTCGTATATTCACAATCCTTGCTGTATAATCAAAGAAAAATACTTCGCATTTTGAATATATCATGTCTTCTCCTTTACCAAAATGTGCATCATGTAGTTGTGTTTTGGCAACATTTACTTGTTTGACGTCATGACACTGCGAATATTCCTCAAATAGCACCATTGGATAGGTATATAGGTATTAATTGATGCGGTTTTGATATCAGGTTTCCTTCTAATAGTCTTATAAATTTGAAAACTACTGCTTCTTTATAAGGTCTGAATTAAATATCAGTAAATATGGTGCTGTAATTGCCGGCTATGTGGTGAAAGGAGGAATAGAAGGCGTGGGTTTTTATCATAATATCAATTTCTATATTTATTCTTGTTGGAGAAGTTCCACTTTTCAATGTCATTTCTAATCAATCATCCAGCGCCCCACAATATTGTTTCAATAGATTTTACGCAATTCATATTCCTTTTATGAGTGATATACAAGAAAATGTTTAAGTTGCTAAACTTCAACACTTTATATTTTCATTTTTCGAGAACAAACAATCTCATTCAAAAAGACACTCAAAATGTTACAAATACGAACGAAATAAAAATAAACAAAATACGAAAAAAGATAAATAAAAACAACAGCAAAAAACGACCATAACATGCAGTTACATTTATGGGCTTATCAATTGAAAGACATAAAAAAGCTATAATAAAGATGGACATCATCTGTTACACAATTAATAACAGCCTCCACCCACACCTTGTTAACATAATTGGAATGCCCCTGTAAGAGAAAAAGATTGTCAAAATCATTAATTGAGCCGACGACACCGTACACGTACTGCAAACTTTCCCGTCAGCTGCACATTGTCTGTGCAAGCTGATCAAGATTTATTCTTCATATGAGTTTATTAGTAGAGTTAATAAAAAACATAAATGTTTTAGTGGGCCGGCGCCAAGATGCCCAGAAGACCAAATGGAGCTCGAGGATAAAGTCCCGGTAAGTATTGTCAAACAAAACCACAGACGACTATAGAAAAAACACTCGATAAGACAAATCGAGGATTATCATCGAGTAAAATATGTAGATGGCGAATTAGAGTCTTGACTTAATCTGTAAAACCTAGTACAAAATAGTAATAAATGATGCTAATTTCTTCCTGACTAATAAAAACTATTTAGCAGTAATCAGTGGTATTTGTTTCACGGATTGATGCGTCCACTCATTAATTCTATGGAATACTTAGTAGCTAAGGGTGAAGTCATTAAACCCGTGAAACAAAACTTTACTATCTGAGTAATAGTCAAGTAGACACAAAAGAAAACAATGCAATTAGAGGTACTACGATGTATTATTGTAGAATCTATTTCACGGTTGTTTTTTTTGCCCTCTCTATAACAAACTGGTGCTGAATTTTAGAGATTCTTGTATTCATTCTGTTGTTGAACCAATATAATATGTGCCTATCGACGGACAGCAAACAAATGTTTCAGCAACTACTTTACATAGGTATTGTTTGCACACTAACTAAACACACCTCTTCATAATGAAATATAACCAATGATGAATAATTGAATAGTATTTTAAATTAAAAGTCTATCGTTGCGTTTTTGCAGGACACTGATACTGCGCTCAACAATGAGATAATGAATCTACAAGTCTCGTGTAGGAACAAAGAATGGAACTGTAAATGGGAGGGAACTATCTTGGAGTTTCAGGTAAAAATTACAAACATATACCAGTGTAATTTCCGTGTAATTTATAGTGTGTGCGAGCGAAATTAGCATTTCTAGTCAATATCTCGTTTTCTTACTAGCTATTCTGATTTCTCTACAGCGTCACTTGAAAGATTGTGAATTTACAGATATACTATGCGTCAACGACTGCGGCGCAAAATTCCAAAAGCGGTTTCTGCAGAAACATCTTGACAAGGACTGTGGCAAAAAGATTATCAGCTGCCCGTACTGTGATGACAGACATCTCAGAGAGGAAAAGAAGGTTTGTTTTTACTGGTATTAAATGAATATCCAATACAAAGTGCTTTATCTCACTGTAATTCATGTTAATTAGTGTTGGAGTTTCATAAGTCATTTCGCCTGCGGCTCGAGATTGTAATTCCCATACAACATGGCAGCTCATCGGTTGTAAACTATACTTACAAGCCAGAGCCGATACTTAATAATAACGGTATATTTTCATCTTTTAGGTTCATCTTGAAGATTGTCCCAAGCTTCCCCTTCCATGCCCAAACAAATGCGATAAAAAACTAACGATACCAAGGGAAGAGGTAAATATCTCATGTTTTACAGAAACGTTGTCGCTTATCAAACTATAGGCCATCTCGATCTGATCTTCATAATAATTTCTTGCATTTTTAGCTCGAGCAGCATATTGAAGCAGACTGTCCCAGGACTAAGTTGATGTGTGAGTTTGAAAAACTTGGCTGTGCACATAGAGTAAGTATACGTAATAAGCACGTTATTGTCATATTTGACTTTAGTTTTAATCGTTAAATGTTACAAAACTGGCGTAGCATGCGGAGGATGCCCTGAACGTTGTAGACGTAGTTGAACCCTTTTGTTTCTGCAAATTTTGTCAAACTTTGATCTGAATCATTGACACATGCTAACTGTTGAACTAATATGATTACAGGCCAGTCGTGAAAAGATGCAACGCCATTACAAGAATGAAATCATAACACACGTTAAACTGATGTACGATTTAATGACAAAGCAAAAGGGATTGCTCGATGCAAACGATCAAAGACTCAACCAATTTGAAAACATAATGAAAGAACAGAATAAAAGGATCGGAGACCTTGAGAAAATCGCTCACAGTCAACTTATATGGAGAATTGAGGATTACACGAGGTATCAATGAAGCATAATTATTGATGTGACTTTCCTGCAGGTTAAGATAGCCATAGATAGACAGTAGTATTCCGACGAAGGATTAACGTCCGAAACGTCAGTAAGTTGTCTCACCTTCTTTTTTACGCGGTGTTTTTACACAACTGTTTCTTTAGAAACACCGACGCAGCTAGTGAAGCTAGATAGTAGATCAGCTTGTTGTTAGATTGATTGGAAGATACAAATAAGGGGAGACCTTGGCTATGTGACTTCTGGTGCATGTTATATTAGCAATGTGCACCGACGCCATTTTCTCAAAGAAATTCTGATGGGAAATGTAGATCTCACAGTGTTTTAAGTTTGCTAAAATAATCTCTAAAGCTTGTTTTTTGTGTGTTTTCTTTACGAAAAGGCAAACAAACTTGCCGCGTTTTTTAAATAAACTAACCGAACAATAGATCAAACATCAGACTGCATTTCCCGTCATCCTTTGAAGTACAAAATGGCGTCACTGCAAATTGACTCTTAATATAATGATGATGATAATCAAACGGTTTTCTAAGTTTCAATTACTATGTCTCGAACAGGAAGCTAAAGGAGGCTAAGGCAGGCAACATGGACACCCTTTTCAGTCCGACATTCACGACGAGTAAACATGGTTACCGTCTTTGTGCGTCTGTCTGTCTGAATGGCGATGGGAAGGGAAAAGGAAGTCACGTCTCGGTCTTTGTCAGTGTTCTTAAAGGTAAGAAAACTTATAGGTAAGAAAAGCAATATAAAAAGAAAAATAATAACAATAGCGTATAGTACAGCTTAATACTCGTCAGTAGTCTTTTTAAATCGCTCGGTGTTTGGAGTATAAATGATTTTACTTGCAATTTTTTTGGCAAATTTTGTTATTTCTCGAGTCAGTTTTTCTTCGTAAAGGTGCAGTAAACTTAGTGGTAAATCACACTAGTTATGAAATGATTAAGATTCAACGTATGTGCAAATTATACGGATACAAATAATATTTTCTATACAAAGTTTGATAATAGCTTTATTTGGAAACTAGGTGCGTTTGACGCGCTGCTCAAGTGGCCATTTGACTACCGAGTCACGTTTACTCTCTTGGATCAAACAGAAGACGTAAATGAGCGAAAGCACATCAAATTCAGCATCAAACCAAATCCCTGTCCTGAGAACGAGCCATTCCTAGGACGACCGAAATTGGAGAAAAACGCCAGCTTTGGAGGCGCCAAGTTTGTTAAACACGACGAAATTGAGTCAAGAAATTACATCAAAGATGACACATTGTTCTTAAAAATTACAATCGACTGTGATGGTCTTAGTGAGCCGTAGACAATAGATTACTAGACTAGGTTATTGATGTACATATAAGAAAACCTTATGGATGTTTTGGTGTATAATGGCTAAACATATAACCTTAATTTWATTGCGTAGTACACAAAGTCTTTTGCAACTGATAAATCTTACAGTATCTTGTTGACTGGTTCAATGATGCTGAACTACTTTGATTGGATTCCCTCCGCTTACATAAACTACTGTGTAGTTAGCTATATGTTGTCATTGTCATCAAAACATTCTATGTGCATCAATGGGTTGTCATTGTAACTCTAGCCTGCGTGGCGGCTCTAGGGGAGGGGGGAGGGGGAAAACGGAAGGGGAGGCGGAGCGGTGACTTCTTTTTTTTCCGCTCCGCCTCCCCACCCCCTCCCCTTCCGTTTTCCCCCTCCCCCCTCCCCTAGAGCCGCCACGCAGGCTATTGTAACTCAATTATAGTATACTGCAAATACATTGCAGAGAATTAGTAATCTACGTCACTGAAACCCATAAGTCATTTGTGAAGCTCACATTGCACTACACTGCACTAACTAGAGTCGTTGTCACATGAATGGGTACCTAACGAACTGGTTCCTAGTATTTTATCTCACTATAGCTTTTCGTGGTGCCTTAGGGAAGACAAAACAATAAATCAAAATGAGCAAATGATACATAGTTTAATGATTTGTTACCTTCCCTCTGGTTCTCCACTCATATGGAAACGACTTTAAAAAGGCACAAAAGAAACACTGTGTAATATTGGATTGAATTCCAGGACTCACTATCTTTGTCTTTATCTTATAACTTGATGAACTCCAAGATAAAGCAATAAAACCTTAGCAACAATCACCTTAGCAACAATCATCTAGACAATAAGCACCTTAGCAACAATCACCTAGACAATAAGCACCTAAGCAATAATCACTACCCTAGAAACAAGTACATACACTATATATAAACTTTATCTACTAGATAATACCTATAATATATCAGCAAAAAATCACATAAAATGGAATACAAATTTATCACCATTTCTTATGCAATGGTTAATGTTATTTAGTGAAGGCTGGAACTTGCTTTTGAAGCTTTAGAATGCAAATTACACTCTCCAGAATCATGGGATCGAAAACATAAAATGTTCATATCTAAACAGATGCTTTTCAAAAAACATTCCGTCCAGGAAAACAAAGGGTTTTTTTTCAAAATAAAATTACATCTTATTGCATATTTATTTTTTAGTATACTTGCTATGTGAACATTTCAGTTTGATTTGACGTTTACCGTCTCAATCATGTCAATCATGGGTAAAGGAGATGGATATTTCCAAAGATATGATACAATAATTTCTGTTGAAAATATAAGAAAGCTATCAAATTTCTTGTGCTATAAAGGACTATTCTTGTTTGGGGAATCACAAAATCCATCAATTCCACATTTTATTATCAGAGAGAACATTTGTCAGTCATGTGAATCTTTAGTTAATAAAGTTAAAATCAGACACAAAAACGTTGTGTGATTAATAATTCTTGGTTTGCAGGTTACGTCACAGTGGCCATCTTGGAGGAACTTTAACAAAGGATTTCTCATTAGTATCTATTGTTCATTCCTCCAACATGGCCGCCGGTCTTCTATCTTTTGAATCTCATGGGAATGGGTGAAAACGATCAATACAATCTAGTTACTACAGAGGGCGATAAATCATAATTCAAATTCAAGTCAATCTTACATACAAATGTTAACAACTACATTTCCTGTGACCAAAAACCACTACTTACTATAATAACAAGCTCAAAGAAGAGTACATACCACCAAAACAACAACAAGCAATCCAGCAAGAGAATAAGAAACACATATCCACTATTCAAGTCTTTTTCAATACATCTGTCCAATGAGATTCATCATCATCATCATCACAAATCAAGTCAGGGTTTTCTTGAATAGTTTCTGATGGTTTAACAAAGTCTCTCCATAAATATTCCAAGTTACAGGAAGAGCATTTCCCTTGTAAAGGGAGAACAAACAATCCATCTTCATGATTTTCCTCAATAAATGTTTTGGCTAAGCATATTGTATGGACCACCATTGTGCAGTCTTGATTTGGACAATGGACGGTGGAGTCTTGTGTCTGAAAAGAAAGAGGGTACAACTATTGAATACCCTGCCACTCAAACCCTCTACCTGGCTACGCGGCTACGCAGTGATAGACACAGGGATACCAAAATATGTATACAAGCCACTTCATAATACATTGCCTCCTTCTTAAAACACAGGGAGACCTGTATTCAATTTCTGACTCAGTAGCCGCGTAGCCACTTCATAATATATTGCCTCGTTATCAAAACACAGGGAGACCTGTATTCAATTTCTGACCCCATAGCCACGTAGCCACTTCATAATATATTGCCTCGTTCTTTAATAAAACACAGGGAGACCAGTAGTTCACTTATGACTTGATTTTGAGCTGTAGCCATAGCCATCGTCAGTATGAGGTGTTTTTTTTGTGTGGGGTATTCGATAGTTACTCCAGAAAGAGTTACACCAATAGTTTTATTAATAAACAACCAAGTTTAGTGTTCGCACTACAAAAAGTACATTCAACCACCATTAGCAAATAGCTGACATTGTTAATTACCTGCATTTTTCTTGAACATACACAACATCGCTTGCTCTGGTACATGCTCACACAAATTTCATCATCTTCTGTCTTTTTGTTCTTTGTTTTGCTATTACTAGTAACTGTTTTTAAGGGTCCATATGCAATAGGCATATGAATGGGCGGCTGTCGGCAAGGGTCAAATTTGATTTCATAGTCCTGTATAAGCCATCTAATAGTCAGTGATAATCTGTTCCATGGGCCAACTTGTAATAGTTCTGACAAGATCCTAAAGCAGTGTGAAACTTTGCTTTCTTTTGTTCTTTTGCTTCTTGGTCCTGTCATGTTTTTGAGACGGCGAGTACGTTGAGGATTTTGCCAGGCCCACTCAAACTGTTCAAAATATGAAACAGAACACATCTGTGAATAGGAGATTTTCATTAGCATTTTAATAATACCATGCAGTACCTGAAGTGCAATGACATCATTTGGAAAACCATGCACTATCAGTATCATCTCCCTAGGATTTAAGATAAAAAAAAAATGAAAAATGGATTGCATGTTATAAATCAAGCCAAAGCTTTGCTGTTTTAGTATCGGGATCCCTGCGCTGCTTCAACGTAAAATGGTTACAATCAGTATCACGAAAGGAACTATTGAAAATATCACAATCAGGTAATATAATAAGTTTTTTGCTGACCATGGTTTCTTTCTACTTGTTTTGTGCGCGCCACCTTTGTCGACGCCGCCGTTGTGCTGCTTGATTCTCCTGGCTGGATTAACAGTATAGCCTATATAAGTATGACCTCTGTACCGCGGATTTACACAGTTCAGTAGATAGACTCCATGGAACCCTTCTGCAGTCTTTACTCCTTCCATTATCAACAGAAAACAAAGGATTATGTGAAGATTACAAAATGCCCGCCATCGTCCGCCATGTTTTGAAATATCTAGTGCCGCTTCCCTCTCGGTCCGTTCGGAAACGAGGCTTTAGCTGTTTTCAAAATGGTGGATGAAGTGGTAAATTATTATTCCAAAGATTTCGTCTTCTTGATATCTGTTTAGCTGATATTTGTAATATAAAACAATGCAGTATTTCAAAGAATTTAATATACAAAAGGTGTGGTCGCAATTTACCAACTCTACCGTAGATTTGACCACCTTTCTCAATGTCTTCAAGCAGCACGTTGATGGATTGCTCAACTCAGACGACTGGCAAATTCGTCTCAGTTTTATTCTTTTTCTATTTACTATTGTAAACATTGTACTTATTGGCTTGGCATGGAGGATATTTGGAGACACTATCACCAATCTAGTATATAACAAACCTAAGAGTCCCGCTAGAAGATTGAACAATCTGTATCAAAATGATGATCTAAATATGCAAGAACTTATTGCTAAAAAGATACAGTAAGACGTAGCTGATGGATTAGTGAATAAGCACAACATGGTGTCCATTTAGGAACTGCACATTGGTAACCGTTGTGAATATTAAAGAGACTCCAGGTGACACTGCTTTTTAGATGATGGTTGACATCAAGTGTTGACAACAGCATCCTTATGTAGACTATAAGCTATTCATTGCACTCTCTTGATGGTCTTGGTTTTTGCTATCAGGTAACGTGATAATATATTATAATCAGACCAGACAAAATTCCACCTGATTGAGGCACAGGAATCCCAAACCTCCAAACATAATGATTGTTCTGGGAGGTTTTAACCTTAAAGATCTAAAGAGCTGCTTGCACAAGATAGGGTAGTTGAAGGTAGTAGGTAGGGGAACTATTTTGTTTCCTTTTCCTTGCCTGTGCAAATGTTTAAAAAAACACTGTGCTGGTTGCTAAGGCTAGCCAAAAAACATTCAAAGAATTTCTTTTCTCAAAAAGATAAATTATTTAAGAGACATTATTTGTGATCATGATCTGAATTATAATTTATTATAAATATCTTAAGTTATATGAAATTTATAAAATTACATCCAATAAAAAAATGTACATTTGTGAAATTAATAATGAAATGAAAGTGTTCACTTCTCTTTCTAATATTGCAGTTGTACCATAACAGGTATACAATAAAGTGAGTAATAATTAACAAAGTGACTTTGCTTGTAATAATTCTTGAGGTTGAGCCTGCATTTTAACCTCTAAAGACTTTTATGGTGATGATGCTGAAGTCAAATGAGTTTTCAAACATTATTAGGCCTCTTTCCCTCTCAGAGTTGAGGTCTAATCACCTTGCAATCATTTAAACCTAACAATATATTATAATATTCAGTGTGTGATACACAATGTAAGTCTCTTAAAAATATATTTTGCTATAAATAATGTATGCCGTGAACAATGTTGATATTATAATATTACTGTACCAACATTGGAAAGATAGTATATGCACTTCAAATATATTGTGTATATCGTGTATGTGTTTGTCTTGTATTTTAGAAATACTTTGTACAATTTATTTGTCTTATTAATTTGTTTGCATAAATTCATATAAATCTAATTAAGTGTACATCCTTTCTCTTAAAGAGCCTCCAGTATTCTTCTTACTGTTGGGTTAACCTGTTAAAATAATGATGATAAATAAATATTACTAACAATGGATTTTCTCTTTGTGTGTTTGTGTCAATGTACTGATCTTATTTTCTCTGCTTTATTGATTTACAATTCAAAATCAGCATTTAATGATTCTTACATTAAACCCATCAAGTTTCCATTTGAGACTACAAAAATCGGCTTCTTCAATGATCTCTTTATTGCTGTTGATGTTTTTCGTTTCTTCAGTTCTGAAAAACACAATAACATTAATTACTATGTGTAATAAAAAGAATAAATTTTACCGTTCAATGAAGGACATTTTGCAATAAAGCATCCACCAATAGTGCAACGCAAAGTCAATCAAACCTTTGCTCATATAAGTGTAATTCCATTCAAATTAAATGCTCAGACCCAAAGCAGCACTGTAGGTAGATTTATGCAATAATTTAACTTACACAAAATTGGAAAATAGGATTCTCTCAGAGAAGGCAGCGATAGCTGAAAACTGCTTCAGGTTGAATTTAGTTTTGTCATCTGCTCCAACCATCTAACAGACAATAAAAAAAATTTAATGAGGAGACAAAAGTAAATGATTATAGTACCTAAAAGATTTAACTATTCTTCCAGAATTTACCTCTACAATACTACGAACTTGTTTGACATCAATTGAGTCAACATGGATTTCTTTTAGACCTTTTTCAAGTTCCTTAAGACACAACATAAGATATTCAATTATAATAAGAAATATATTCTTATAATATGATAATTAAAAATACCACTTACCCGGAAACCAATGATTCCATCTCTATCTTTATCAACCTTTTGGAATATGTGTTTGAATAATGCTTTCCGTCGTGTGCTGTAGAGAATATAATATGGAACAGATTATCAGACAACTGTATAATCTGTGAGTATTTAGTTTTAGAGACAATAGACTTACCTTATAATACAGTACTTGGTCAGATATTCCATTGCTGTCATTGCTGAAGAGAAGGCAAAGACAATTTATTGTACAATATTTTATCCTCGCCTTCTAATTAATCTCTGATTCATTGGATATTATAAGTTGGATGAAAGAATTTTAGGCATTTTGTTATATCAAAATAATATTCTACTGAATAATATTAGGGACTTACTAGGGACTTAAAACATATAGTTAATTTATATTCAGTTTCTAAAGAATAATCAAGATTAAGACTTACATTCTAAGACTCTGACATCCATAGGAAGCTCAAATCTGCTTGTTTGTTTGGATAAAGCAAGTCTTCCTTGTAGCCATGGTTTCATTCCTTCCTTTTTACGCTGAGAGAAATTTTGCATCACATTAGGAAACAATTTAATTCATATTTTTATGATTCATGTTCTAGACATTTCTTACCCGTTCATCTTCCATAACTGAGTTCACTACCAGTGTGCTCTCAGGGAGCATTTGATGGTGTCCTGATGCTCCAGTGAAAGGCATTGGCATTTGGCTTGTTTTACTGTGAATCTTATGCCTTTGTTTAGCTTTTGTTACTTCATGTTGATGCAAGTCCTGTAGGAATATGAAAAGTTATTGCACTCACATCTTTGCCAGTTTATCACTGGGATAATATGAAAATAATATGACTGAATGAAATAAATTGTTGAAAGTAAAAACGAAGAACAAAGTTTCTTATAAAATTAAATTGTCTGACAGTGTTGATCAGATGTGCTACAAGTCAAACTGAGTTTCTTTGGAAATAAACTTTAGAACTTTAGACAAAGAATTCAAGGTACATATTATGTATATTGTGCAAAAACTCTGTTAATTATAGGTTTAATGTACAACTGGTGTAATGTATAGTGATCATAAAAGTAAACTACAAATATTTATTTATTCATCTATTTTTTAGACCTAAACAAGAGCAAATTAATATCAATAACAGTTGCATAATACAAAAAATCTACACTGCTATATATACTATCCCTCACATGACTTTTTTTGTAGAGCGTACTCTTAAAAGAAGATCATGATCTTAGGACAGCCATTGAGTAGACTATTCACTATTATAATGCTGTTGTCCTTCTGTATAATTTTCACCACAAAACTAACAGATGCTTTTAAAAAAACTGACACATACTTGACAAAAATGTATCAAAAGGTGATAATTTGTCATATTATTTGCATGGCAACAAGACCAGCTTCACAGATATAAATGCATGAATTTTGTATTTTTGAATTTAGAAATTAAGTTTTAAGCAATTTAATATTTTTTTATATGTATTTAATATTTCTTTCTTTTAGTTACTGGCTCTTTGAACAGAAAAAGACATTGTATTACTTGATAGTTTGGATATTGTTCCAAAGTCTTGGTGTCACTAATTATTAATTCATCAACAAAAAGTTCAATTGATTAGTTGTCGGGTTTCGATGATATAAATGCATGATGTTGTATTTTGGGTAAAATAATTCTAGTATGTTTAAATTATACTTTTGATGTGCTATATGTCTACATAACAAGGGCAAGCACTTCTTTTTTAATTCTAAAAAAAATCCTAGAGCAACTTAAAATCATTGGCATTTTTCAAAAAACAATTTGATAATGAATATTGTTTACCTTTAACTAACTTAAAAAGTAAAGATTAATGCCTATAAATACACTTTAAGCATCTTAGTTTTCCTTGAATTTTAAAGATAAATCCCTGTATTTTTTTCATGGAGGATAAATATAATTGTTTGAAACCTTCACAACAGGTGCATCTAAATGAGAAAGCCAAAACGGTTCAGGTTTTCATGACAGAAGTCTGATTACATTACAACTAAAATTCTAAAATTCCAATTTTTTATGTATTTTACCTTGAGTTGATGTCAACTACACATGTATGTATAATCTTTTCTCGGTTGGCACACAACATGAATATACAGTACGTCAACAGGATGTTAATTTTTAACATTAAAAGGTGGTCATATTGACATGCTAATGACTAGAGTTACCTCAGGAAATAATCTTGTGTATGCCTGAACAATATCACAAATCAATCTTAGCTTGTGTCAATGATTATTTTTAGAACCCTTAAGTTATTCAATATTCTCACTTACACAGTCTTATCTGATTGTGTCAAGGACTTACAACACTGTACATTTTAAACATTTTCAATTAAAGTAACTTCCTGACAAAATTTGTTGACAAACATTGCAGCAAGCACACTTTAATATACAGTACTAATGCATTTTTCTGATGATTTCTTACTTAATCTATCAAATTTCATGCTCAGTATACATGTAGCTACATGAAAAATGTTTTCATAAATTAAAAAAGACTTCTCCATACTTGCCAGAATGCAATTTTCATCTAAATATAATTATTATTTTCACTTCAGACCATCTTGAAGGTTCTGTTTTCCCCGTCATCAACTGATAGTGGTTTTTTAAAAGGAGATGGTGTTGATTACAAAAAGAAAACAAAACAATCCATGGGTAAAATGTATATTATTACTGTATACAAAATGTCAATACATCAATCATGGTGCCTTGGTATGGAAAACATAGTCGTGGTAATGAGAAGCAAAGAACTTGAAAAAAAGCACCAGATCATGAATCTTTTTTTAAATAATTAATTAAAGGAAAACTGTCAAGTCTGCCATTGGCCAGTTTCATGCTAGAGAACTGAAAATATATTTCAGCTTAAAAACTAATAAAAGCATATGCTGTATTGTTTATGGCACACTACTGATGAATAAAACATCAGTGCTGTGTCCTGATTAAAATTTAGAAGTATAACATATCATCTACTAAAATCACAAAATGATGAAGAACGCAAAGGAAATTAGACGTTAGAATAATTTAAGAGCAAGAAAAAACTGGAGAGGACTTCCAAATTCCTAGTTCATATTCATATCATTTGACGGTTACATGTATATTGTACTTACAACAGCTTGATACATTTTGTATGCTCCAGGGGCATGAACAAACTCTGGTTCTGGAAGTCTACAATAATTATAATAGATAATATTTAATTAATAAGTAATATGCCTGAAATTTATGTTTTTGCTTATCACTTGGACAAGAAAGCCATTTTTGGGGCTAGCTAATTCACGAACTTGTATTAGTAGAGTGAGACAAGCCGTGAACAGGAAGCCCATGTCAAGTGTTGTACTTGCCAAAAATTACCATAAAATAATATACTAAATTTAAGTAAATTAACTCACTTTTCTTCAAGGGGCTTAGCTTCCACTTTTTCTTCTACTTCTTTCTCTTCCTTTTCTTCCTTTGGTGGTTCAGGTTTCAATACAATACCAGGTTTAATTTGAGGTTTGATATCAGCCTCACGACGCTCTACAATTGGTCTTGGTTTTGGTTTCTTTACATTTGCTGGTTTTTCTTCCATAGGTGGTTGTGGTTGTGGTTGTKGAGTAGGTTTCGGTTGTTTTAGTATAGGTTTAACAGGTTCTACTTTCTTCTCAGGAGTTTTATAACTAGTTACTGTCATGGAGTCTATGAAAGTCACCTTAGGGGGGTCGGGTTGAGGTGGCTTTGGTTCGACTGGCTTTTCTTCAGGAACATCCTTTATGTCTTTTGCCTGGACATTCTCCACAACTATAGTTTCATCACTGACAGTGTCTAATCCATGTGTTTCTTCATCATGTGTGGCTCCTTCCTCCTGTGACTGTTCAATTGTTTCTTGTTCAGTTAGAATAGATTTTGGTTCAGTATAATCTTGTTTTTCTTCACTGATTATTTCTGGTCCAGGTTTTGCCCCTACAACAGTTTCTTCTGGTTTTGTCTGGTTTATGACGATCTCAACCTCTATATCTGGTGTTGTTACCTAAATTAACAAAATTAATAATTATCGTGATAAAAATCACAAATCTTACAAGTAAAACATTGTATTTTGCATATTATAAAATCATAGTTAGTATACCCTAAAACATCTGTCACTTAGAAAAGCAAAGACAAATTTAATTAAAATAGTTTTTTCTTTGGCTAACATATTGTGTCAGATGAGTGCAAATAAAACGCACATTGAAATTTAACCTAGGAAAATCAAAACATTATACTATATCAACAAAATGATTGTATCAAAGAAAATAATGATTTGTATTTTTACAAAATTATTTTTTCCTTTGAAAGCATAATTTATATTTAATTATTTTTTTATATGATATTAACAAAAACAGCAATTATCAGTGGCAAACTGTTTGTTTAGCGTTTGAATATTTAATTGAGATTTTCAATGTGTATTCTATTGGCAATGACAGTCCATTTGACAACTTTGTATTGCAATTACCAGGTAAATTTCTGTGTTGCCCAGTTACAGCCTGCAGTATGATTATAACATATTGCTGCAACTACCAGAAATTGCTAAATGCAAATTTTCGATTCCTTTCATTTGAGGAATTATTGGGTAAAGCAATAAGTTTTAAATAGACATAGAAAAGAAAGTGCCTGAAAACTACACTCACTGGAAAATGTGACAAGCTTATTCCCACCTGATTGTTGTCCTCTTCTACTGTTTCTCTACTTTCATATTCTGCTACTATATGTAGCTGATCATTGGTAGGCTCAGGTGTTAATCGTGATAATTGTAAATCATTGTCATAATCACTATCAGAAGGGTCACCCATTCTTGACTCCAGATACTCTCTGACATTAAGATCATCCATGATATCCGCATCATTATCTTTGAAAAAATGAAATGAATGAAATAGTTAGACACAATAGTAATAAATAATGTTTATTAAAAATAGTTAGTAGAAGGCAGTTGTTGGACTAATGTCCTTGACTTACATGTATAATAATCCAATTAATCACAATATATAATAGATATATGAATTCATAATTAATATGTAAAAGAGTAATACACACGTCAGATAAATTAGACAGAATAAATATTAAATGAATGGAAATTTTAATGGATGAAACATAAACTGATTATCATCTTCAATGATTTCAAATAATTAATACACCTAAACAATGTTATGTGATGAACAAAATTAATATGATTAGGAAATCAGAATATCACACGTCCTGTTTTTTCAAAAAAAAAAAAAAATTGATGCAATAAAAATAAAATAAATTATGAAATTTTTATTATTTATCCTAAATGCTCATCTAGAATTATTATTAACATGAAAACCTAATTAAAATTGCCTATTTAAGTATTTAATATACTAATTTATTTTTATTGACAGGTGTATTCACAAAATATAATGTTAAATAAACCTGTCAGTAAATACATACATGTACAGATTGTACCTGATAAGTCATATTGCTCAGACATTGAAAGCTCTGATGGTGTATCAGGATAATCAAAGTTTTCCTCAAAGAGAATGGTCTCATCAAAGTCATCTTGTAGTACTGGGAACTGTTGTTCAGTTGGTTTTGTGCAAGTTATTGTTGGTGGTTGTGAATCACCAGAGAAATGAGCTGGTTTAACGAAGCTGAAATACTGTGGTACAAACCCTCTACGGTACTAAATCCAATAAAGAACAAATTTTAATGCATTTAAAATTAATATTATAGTGTTATCCAGTACATTATTTTAACTTACCACTCCAGGTCTAGGAACTGGCCAGAATTGTTGCCTCTGGAAAAAAAGAAACATTTTCAATCAAATAATTAAACATAATTATATTGTTGTTCAGTAAAACTTGGGTTCATCATAATGGAAAAACATATTAATCAAAGAGCTGGTATAGCAAAAGTACCCAGAGATTTGTAACCAGTGATTAAATAAGGGTAATATATAGTTTTGCTGCATGGCTGCCAGTGGGCTTCAATATGAAATATGGAATTTATATGACAGATTCTAAACATTTATGGTTGTATAAATAATAATAATTCAATGTGAAGTCAGTAATCCATACAGTAAGTTAGAATTAAAAAGGTTGAGCCCAATGAGTCCTGTAAAGAGACACAAAATTATTATCTAATATCAACCTTAGTGACCATGTCGATCTATCATCAAGGGAGGGAGTCTAATACTTACGGTTTTAGGGGGGACAGTAGTTCTGGTATTAAAAGCTGAACAGCAGTGTCTCAAACCATTGTGATTGACTGCATTTTTAACAAGTTCTGGCATGCAAGAGAAAGGCTTTGTCATGGCCCACAGTTTTTCATAGTCAGTACCATCTTCAGGCACTTCATTAATTAGCTCAACACTACTAAAATCATAAGGCAATGGTGCTGATTTGCACCTTGTTTTCTGTCTAGTTTGAATCTCTCTTGGTGACAACAAAGATTTGTAATTTGTAAATGAATTTGTCCGTAACTCCCATGCTCTTTGTGGAGCACTTCGAACTGTTCCTGAACTTGCCCTGGATTTAGATTTGGCTGTCTGTGGTCGCCTAGGTATGTATACTGTTGGTTTTACTGGGGCTGACTTACATCGATTTCTTTGAGTGCTCAGGTAAAGAGAAGTTGGAGATGATTTGTTGATTTTGACAGTTCTTACTGAGCTATAACCACTTCTTGATGAAGCAGGTCTAGATGTTGCTGGAGTTGGTGTTGGATTGTGTCCAATGTGAAAATCAGGTGTTTGGTACCCAGGTGGGTGATTACGATTTTTGATTTTACGTATTTCATTTGAGCTTGTACGAGCTGCTGCACTTTTTACTCTTCTATGTGATGGTTTCTCTGTGTTTGAGTCATTAAAAAACCCATAAATTGCAAATGGATCAAGAATTGTTCTTTCTTTTGTAGATCTTTGTCCTTCAGTCAACCATAGCCGATCCTGGTCTTGAAAATTCATGCTAAATTATATTACCGTTTCACACCAAGTGATATCTTGCTTTGTTTCATTGTGGAAATGGAGCAAAAAAAAAGGGCAATGAGGTATAGTATTAACAACTTTCTTGGCTGATGTAGCTTCTATATGTCGTACAATCATGTACACTTGACAAAAATGAATAAATATTGTAGTAGCTGATTCCAAAGTCTATAAAAAATAAAAAAAAATAGTTCAGTATTTTGTTAAATACAAATTATTATGATAGATCTGTTGAAACAAAATAATAAATCAAATTTATAACTTAATCATAATTAATGACAGCTGATGCCATAATAATCTTGTAATTGTTTGGTCGCACAAAACAAATTTATTATGTTGTCAATTCAACTGTAAAGAATTATTTGCCAACAAAACGACACTTAATACTCTAGGACAAAGCCTGGATTTTAATTACTTAGGATTTTATAATTTTTCTCAAGTGTTGAAGTAAAAATCTTAAAAAATGAAATTCAGTTTCAATTTTTTTAATAGAAATACAGTGTATAGACAATTGAATATAATAATTTTGTCGGTGTCTTAAGTTTAAACTGCTTCTAAAATCGTAATCGCATCATCTGCCTTACGTTGTAAAAGCTTACATTGTGTAAACTATTTGTCAAGTTGAAGTTAAGCCACCACACGGCAAATTAACGAAATTTTCTACATTTCTAATAAGTTAACAATTCCTTACTGAGTTAGCTTGAGTATTCTAAAAACCAATAAAACTTATTAAACTTAATATAAAACAACCGGTAACACTTTCAATTATCTCTCACTCAAGATAAAATTAAAATTTATTTTATTACTTTCATTAATAAAACAACGTGCAACAAATGACACTAGCAATTTGTTTCTTACCTACGATCTTGTAACGTAACGCGATAAACACGGCTATCAAAAAAAGCTAACGTCTCGCAAGCATTGGCGAGATGTTTGGCTTTACATGGATAACTTTTAATGTCGTAAAAGAGTAATCTTCAACCTTCAACTGTGATTGTTTTTCGCCAACAACGACTCAGCATGTTTAGGTTTCCAACACAAAGTCAAACGCCTCGACCGGGGAGAAGCAACTAACCAATCAGAACACATCTTGGAACTAACCAATGAAATGTTGTTTTACCGGCTCGATATCTACACCAATCAGAACGAGCCTTTTATATACATGAATATATTATTTCAGGTTCAATGTTTCCATAGAAACCACAGGTCTGGAATTCAAATATTGCACTTGAACATTTTTTCGGTACAAAAAATGTCAAATTTGAGCCAATGTTCTTCTCCAAATTACTGTTTAAGCAAAGATAGAGTCATTGGGAAGAACCAAGGGCCTTTACCAGAGCAATGGACGCTAGTCAAGGAATGGAATATGGAACGAAGGCAGCCGTCGGATGAGTCCTGGAGGTCTTTAGCTAATTCCCAGATTTTATACATGCACGAAGAAATGAGAAAATCACTCCAACAGCATCCAAATGCTTTACTAAAGTGAGACATTTCTTGAATTGATGAAGACAGTTTTTTTAAGAATGGTTTTAGTCTAGAAGTTATAAACACATATTGCATGCGTGTTCGGTAGCGCGCTGCCACCAAAATTCCTGAAAGATTTAGCTGAAAAACTGGTTACATTTTCAAATCATCATCATTGGAATAATATTTGCAGCGAAGATTCCAGAAAATTCAAGCTTTTATTGTGGTGCACTTCAGCCAGCTTGGTTTTTTCATGATGAGTTGTTTACAAAGGATTACATAAAACAATGACTGTATTGACTTTGGACTTACAAGAAGAGTACTTTGCATGAATTGATAAAATACGACACTATTGTAGTAATGTATTATGTGTACAAAACGATATGATTATAAAAGATTGCTATATACTGATGTCTGTTTCGTATAACATTTTTGTTTTAAAAATAATCTTTATGACCGTGCAAGAATAATTAGGATAACATTTCCGCGTCTGCATGTGGGCCACATGTATATTTTGGAAGATTTTCAAACATCTTCATTCGGCGTGTGGATCTTTTTGGATCCGGTAAGAATTCTGGCTACATCCCGTGTTGGGCGGGGCCCCTCAATAACCAGACAAAACATAATCTAGCTAAAAAAATGGTCACGTCTTTGCACTGACCTGTGATTCAACCCTACGTTGATTTTCCAAAGAGTATTTTGTTTGCAGTCCAAATTGATTGTTTGAGCTTGTGTGCTGAGCTCGTCTCATCGCGTACCCACAATGCCCGCAATACGTCCAAGGAAATCGGTGAATTGACGCGGTTTTTCTCCTTTCGTAGTACACGTGGTTCAAATGGTACGAGAACCAGCTAGAATATTTATCTTTACAATTCTCAGGGTCCATGTTGTATCTGAAAAAGTTCAGGCAACATAATATAAGACCATGAGAAGAAGTTGTTAGTCTGATAAAACTCTTATGAATTTCTCGACTAACACTATATGAAAAGAACCAGATATGTGCGAGGTGTCAATTACAAAGCCTTTTTCACCACCTTGATGTCAATTAATGAAACAAAATGAAGTAAATATAAATCAATAATGGTCTAGAATAAGATATGTTTGTGGACAATGTAGCTGCTGAAGGGATATACTTCGCTGTTACTTGTCATATCAAGTTGTGACATCTTTACTATCAACGGACCTGATCTAATGTTTTTAAGTTTAACTTCTGAAATTGAAACAATTAGTTATTTCATACTAAAGAAAATTAAACACAAAGTATTATGAATGTTATTGTACTCTTATGCTATATGGATTGAAATAATGGGATATTTGAATGTACAAAATACTAATACCCAAGTTGAGACTGATAGAGATTGAAAGCAGCATATAAAATCCATAGTATATTTATCATTTGTGGAATATTTTGATATTAATACCACGTTATCTGAAGTCCATACGGAAAGTTTCAACATTATAAAAAATAAACTTAACTTCTCTCTGTTTTAAGGATAGACGTCAAAATATAACAACTGCGTGACTTACTACAGCCGGGATACTTACAGCAAGCTTTTTGCGGATGTAGCGTATTAGTGAGTAGATAAAAAAGACGTATATCAACCTTTCCGATCGCAAGGCAGGTGGATCCAGTACTCCGATTCTGAATAACTTTTCATAAATATATATGGAATTCATTAACGTTAATGAGTCACCTCACTTCCAGATCTCTCAATGCCGTTCCGAGTATTGGTGATTATCCGAGTACCAGTACTTAAGTTAGTCCACAGGTCGAAACCGATAATGTGAATGATCTCCTTTGAATACAGTAAAGTTATCGAACTGTTCGCAGTGTGTCACAAGGTTATGTCACACTATGTCATGGTGGGCTCACTCGAGGGAAATTATGTATATACGTCGACATGACAACTCGTCATGGCAGACCTGACAAACGTACAAAAAAAATAATAAATTTTACCATAGAATATGTTGAAACAAGTCAAGAAGTTTCAAGTGCATGAACACCTGGTAGAGATACATAGATTTGTCAGCTTAATATCACTGGTTAAAGGATAGAGAAGTGTGTCGTGTGTATTTAATAAATGAGTTGGCATTTTCAAGAGTGGCAGTAATTTTTCTAATCAAATAGCGGGAAATAGTCTCTTACTAAATCCTTAAGCTACAATTACTTTTTTGCGCAATAGTTTGATAATTTAAAAGTATTGGAAAACTGCCTCTTGTACAAGAAAAGACTTCTCACGCCAAAACTGTCAAATACAGATAGACAAGTTTTGTGATACGAACAGTTTCCCTTTACTCATATGAGGATATAAAACATGAGTTTCTCAATAAAGCAAATATATCTGGTCTCTACACTATAGTGCTATTTCACAGTGTTTCCAGAGGACTGCAGTTTTCCTACCCCTCCCCCCCACGGTGATCAGTTTTTGTTTGATTGACTTATCAGCAGGTGCAAGGTTGCCATAGTAATTTCAACAAATGTAAATCATTCTCTGTATTTATTTCCTTCTTGAAGTAAGAACAATCTTACGGACAAAGATTAGGCTTCATTCGGTTTTATAAGTGATACTTTGGAATTGGTAAGCTCTTAACGACAATTCCTACTTTCACTAGATTATTGTGAATACAGTTCACGTTTATGATTCATTTAATCACTCAATGTCAGAAGGTAGAAGTGTGAAAATGGTGAACTAGAATTGTTATAACATAAACCCCTTATATTCTGGTTTATTCTGTAGTTAGATTGCGATTGTTTTACGGTATTTAACGCAAATCCCCTCTAATATTGTTGAAAGGAACTGAATGAATTGATATAATGATAAAGTATCAAAGAGATAACATTTAATTTTCACAAAGAAAATATAACAACACATAAATTAAACAGTGAGTTGAACAGTGAATTGTAACAAAACTTTATTCATCCATGTTGACAGACAAGAAAAAATAGACTTATGTAGGATCCAACATCATTTATGGGCGTTCAAATGACGTCATGACTTCCGATGACCTCGACCACTACGTTTTTATATTATACACTTTGGCATTTGCAATTAAACATATATTCGCTGACAAAATGAATATCTAGACCAAGACAAAAAGGTCTAATTCACTTAAAAACATGCACAATAAAATTTCAGTACGTCCTACTATAAAAATATTCTAAGAAAAACGAACTTTCATTGCTGAACCTTTTGTGCTTTAAAGTTTTAACATGCCATTCAATGCTCTGCAGCTCACACCATCTAGTGTACACGCTCCTGTGGTTACAGACATCATGAGCACATGATGGTAAGGTTCAAGGTGTTCACATGCACTCATGACGGAGTTGCACGAAGCAGCCGCTAAAGGAGACAGCGATAAACTTCAGTCTTTGCTCATTGCTGGGGATATTGACCCTGATAGCGAAGACTGGGACTACGGGAGAAGAACACCGTTGCATGTAGCTGCCACAGCAGGTAAAATCAGTTATGGAATCGCTATTATAGTTAGTGGAGGGGTGTGGCCCACGATTTAACAAATGGGTGCGGTCGGCTGGGACATGCGCAGAAGAAGTAACTCATCTCATACCAGGCCCGTAGGCTGCCTTACAAATGGGAGGGTTCGTTTTTTCATAATATGGACCTAAATCAAATAGAGTGTAAGAACTGGCTGCTAGTATGAGCAGTTCATAAACATCTCAAAAACACGTTCAGAAGAAAAAAATATTAAAATAGAACAATAAAACTAAGAGAAACATCGGACCTTTCAATGTGGTCCAGCCTACGGGCCTGCATACTCTATCTGATACAGCATAATATTCCAATGTTTCATCAGGCAAAGTAAAGTGTGTCAAGAAACTTTTAGAACACGGCGCCGATGGTGAAATGCGCATGGCAGGTGGATGGACTCCTGCCCACTGTGCCGCTGAACGAGGTAATGTGAAAGTACTTCAGGCACTTATCAACGCAAATGTTAGTGTCACCGAAGAGGACAATTCTGGTGACACGCCCAAGAGAATAGCCGAGATATATGGGCAATCCAAATGCTTGGAATTATTCGCCGGGTAAGGCTTTGTGTTTATAAAATTTCAGTGTCCACCTAACTGTCGTGAAGCCAGCATTATGATTGGGTATTGAACTACGATCTATTTGTGATAGACCATGATCGCAGTAAGGAAAAAGTCACAAAAAAGTGGTTTAAGCCTTATTTTATTGTTTAAGTCAATTTTATCCTACTATTAACTAGATACAAAAATAATCAGATCACTACAAATGTATACCATAGTCATGAGCCCATATTAGAAAAACACTGATCCAAGTTAAGCCTTGATTGTGCTTATTTTTCTAATTTCAGCCACAGCAATAAGGACCATTCTACTACTTGAGAAGGAATATGCTACAACAGATCTACTTTTGAGACTAAATTTATATCAACCATTTTGATGGTTAGAAACTTTCACTTCACTGATTACAAATATCATCATTCGTAGTCATACTCAAGAACAACATTTACGGTCTCTAATGATAACACAATGCTAATTTAGGGATTGAAATGACAAAATTTCAATAAACAATTCCCTGATAACATTGTTTTTGTCCTGTCAAACCTGACTGCCATACCGTGTCTGGATATTTTGTAGAGATGGTTAGTTGAAATATTGTCACTTCCTATACTGGAGAAAAACTAGCTACCATACAATGACTAAAAGTTCAATTACGATTTCTGATAAAAATAGCTTGCAAGAATAAAATCAAATTTGTGGTAATATAGCTTCATTCAGTTATGGTTGATTAAAAATGATAGAGTACAGAAGCTAAGACTTGAAGTGTATGTGTACATTGTACAATTTAGAGAAGTATGATGGTGCATTTTATTGTAAAATGCTAGACTAAATGAATCATACCCTTTCAATCTTTATCAATTTTTACCTGAGTATCACAAGAACATACATGTGTATATATATGGAATTCTATGACAAAACATGGACTTTTGCTTGTTACATTTTGGAGCGTTCTTTAAAAAGTTTGTCCAGTTTCATTGTCAACATGACATTTCCTTTCACTTGCAACTTTCTTTTCATAAACAATTGTTGTGGATTTGCTTTGCCAGTTGCAATTCCAATCAAATCTTCATCATCCAATGTAATGACGCAATCTGGTTTAACTTTTGAAGAAGTGCCCTGTACTATAGATCCAACACCAGTCTTCAGATCAACTATCCACTGGCCAGCAATCTTGCCATTTTTAGTGACATCCCACTGAAAAACCCCATTTATTTGCTTAACAAGATTAGGGTTGGATGAAATACGATTCTTCATTTCTTCAAAAAGGGCTTGACTTTTCAGCCCTGATGCTGCTGGCTTGCTAACTGCAGTATCCACAGACTAAAAGAGAAATTCATAAGTTTGGTTATCAAGTGGTCATCACTATGTGGTCTATTCAGCCTTCACATATTTTGATTTATTGTTTATTGTAATCTCAAGTCTTTTACTTTAATGAAGACTGACATTCAATAAACCTGAAAATAACCATTGTTTTCTGTGTTGTAAGTTTATGAGATGTCAATAAAAATCTAATAAGAATGATAATGATGAAAGTGGCACTGATGAAAAATAATGTCTGGTGCACTTTACTCAATAAGTGCATTAAAGATAGTAACCACAAAGATGGTCATAAAAGTGAAAATTCATATCAGCTTTAGCTGTGAGGGATTGTACTTACAGGTAGGTCTATAGGGATGTCTTTGAGGTCCACATATCCTCCTGACAATACGACATTACCATTCTCAACCACTTTGCATTCAATATGAATACGATTGCCTTCTTTCCACATGTTGGTCTGAATTGTTTGACCAGGGATGACAGGTTTTGCAAAGCGTGCATTCATGGCTTTAAATTTTGTAACATCATTGTTTGCAAACTGCTTAAGGACATGACGGCACGCAAAACCATATGAGCATAATCCATGGAGAATAGGTGTAGGGAAACCTGAATGAAAAGAAGAAAAAAGCAGAGTTTAAAATCCATATTGAGCATCCATATTTTGATCATTACTTTTTTCCAATATTCCTAAAAAGTTCTATAGAAAAATGCAGTTTGCTTGCTTTTGCATGGCATAACTGTAATAACAACTGATCAATATGCCCCAAATCAAATGTTTATGGTTAACACTGAAACTTTAAACTGAAATTTCACTAACAAGATCATCCCACTTTCTTTTTTTATGGACAGGATAGAGTTTCTCACCTCCCATTTGAGAAAAGTCTGGATCAACATGAAGAGGATTGTAGTCACCACTAAGACGATACAATGCAGCCTGAGATAAACTAGTTTTCTCTTGTACTGTTGCATCAGGATGTCTTGCAGGATGCTTAGCCAGTGGTTTTATTTTATCAGAGCTTCGTTTACCACCAAATCCACCAGCACCCCCAAGAAAAATTGACGACTGATTGACACAAATGGGTTCTTCGTTTTCATCTGAAGTTGTCACTTCAACTAGCACAACAGCACCTTTTCCTTTATCCATGATGTCTAGCACTATTGACTTTGACACAACTGTGGCTGACTTGGGAAATGGTTTCAACAGTTCAATGTACTGTTCACCATGAAGAAGCTATTTGTGATAAATGGCAATAAGTCACAGCAGATTTTATAAATGCACTGTCTAGTAAATGCAATAACCATTGTTGATTTCAGATGTATGCATAAACAATTTACTGACAACTTACCCTGGTTGGGTCAAAAGATATTCCCTCCACTTCTCCACTGTGAAACTGACCTCCCATTCCATTCTGAATTAAAATATACCTAATTTTAGATGTTATATACAGCACTATACGATAATTGTATCTTTTAAAAAGGTACATTCATGCATTCATTGTATTGATTTAAACAACTATTTCCATTTTTCTAATAAAATTCAATGAAAACACTGCTAACTTACCATTCCACAAATAACTCCGTAAGTTGGCAGAACACTAAAATCCTCATGACCTTCAAACAAGAACTTAAGGTGTGAATAATCCTGTTGAAATGCGGTACCAACCCCTAATGCATATAGCATGACATCTCTTTCAGTGAATGTAAAGGAAGAACTCTTAGCTTTTGGCTTGTTTTGATCACTACTATTCTTCAATTCAAGTATTTCTGCTGTCTTTGCTCCCTCTAATTCTTTCGATGGGATCTCAGCATTTGTCCAGTCCGTTATCTCGTCCCAACTATCTCTCACCATCTCTGGGGTGACCTCCATGCCAGGTCGGTGCAGTAAAGCTCCTTTGGTTCTTTGCCATCTTATTTGGGCATTCCATCCAGCTAAGCTCTGGAAAAGCCCTCCACTTTCATCGCAAGCATCACTGCATAGATATAATACTAATGGCACTACATGTCTCGGATGAAGTTCTTCAAAGTATTCAGGCGGGAATATATCTTTAGTCAAACGGGAGGCAGCAATTGGAGCTATGGCATTGCATTTGATGTTGTGTTTATTACCTTCAATGGATAAGGTGTTGCTTAAACCAAAAAGACCCATCTTAGCAGCAGAATAGTTAGCTTGTCCAAAATTACCAAATATTCCCGAGGTGGAGGACGTCATTATTATACGACCATATTTCTGCTTCTTCATGTGCGGCCAAGCTGCTCTGGTCACGAGGAAAGATCCTCTAAGATGGACGCGATGGACAAGATCCCAGTCTTGATCACTGATTCTTGCAAAAGACTTATCTCTAAGAATTCCGGCATTGTTGACTACGATATCTATTCTTCCAAAGGCATCAAGTGCTGTCTGCACAACTTTGTCTCCATTCTCTACAGAGTTGTAGTCAGCAACGGCCTTGCCTCCTTTCGACCGAATTTCTTCTACTACCAAATCTGCATAATTGGTACTTTTACCTTCGCCTTTTCGGTCTCCACCCAGGTCATTCACCACAACGGACGCTCCTCTTTCTGCAAACGCCAATGCATATTCTTTGCCAAGTCCTCCTCCAGCACCAGTTACTAAAACTACGCGACCATCGAATCGGATAGGATCCGCCATCTTGGACACAAAAGAAAAGGTTGTTCAAGGTCGCCTGGTCGCTGTGTGCACTGTTTTTTTTTCAGGGGAGGGGTAGAGATGAAAGAAAAAAAAAATCCGGAAAATTCTCTTTCAAAAAGCAATTGTTTAATTAAAAGCAAAAAAATTTGAAAGATAGTCAAATAGCATATTTTCATAATTTTTTTAAGGTCAATAATTAATATGTTTTTTTTGTAACAACTTTAAGTAAATCTTGAATTTAACTACCCCTCCCTCAACAATCTTTTAGACACTCGTATGGTCAATCAGGTTGTGTTGCATTGCACAATTTGTGACAGGTTCGGCATAAAGTGTTTATTTTGTCCCCATTTCAAGCTGTTCAACAATCTTTATTCCTGTCCGTATGGCAACACAGCTAGATAGTCACTTGAGGGACAAAGATCTCTCAAAAAATGACCGTCCAACGGCCTTTCCTTCGGGTCCTTTGGACTCCTATCGCAGTCAAGCAACATTTGACCTGAAAGAAATGAAAGATTTTGTGAATGGAGGCGAAGATATAACAACATACAAGGAGAGATTATGGGAAATTATGGAAAAAGATCCTGTATTTAACCATGATCTTGACAAAGGACTGTCCATGGATGGCATGAGAAGAATTACAATGAGGCGTTGCAAGCGAATATTGGAATTGGATTTTTTGAATGAAGAGGAGTTTTTGGAAAATCCATATAAACATCAGGCGCTAACGAATGCTGTAGGTAGCTACGATTGGGGATTGGCAGCAAAACACTCTCTAAATGGTGCGGTAAGAAAACACCGTAGATTATAAATGAGATTTAGGGTTTGTTGATAGGAGAGTCGAGAGAGGTGGGTTATAAAATGTGGGGGCTTTGAAATTTTACAGGGGGAGTAGTGTTGTAATGACATTTGAGGGTTTTTTATGGGGAGGAGGTGTCTTGAAATGTAGAGAATCAATCATCTGAAATCCAACTGACGAATTGGTATCTCTACATTATTTAGTGTATGTGTACAAGTACCATGTTTTCGGATGATGGCGGATATAGGGGGTCCTTAATATCCTATGTCACTTCTATTTTAGGGGGGTTTCTAGAAAAAAAGATGAGATGACTCGTTTCCAGATATATCACACACAACCCTCCCTCCCACAAATAATGATTGTAACAGCTCTTTACACCAATATTTGGTGATTGGTTGATTGAAAAGTCATATAATAGGTTGACTAAGTGATATTTTGGTTGTTTGAGAGATGGAATAATTTTATAAAGTGACTAGTGCCACTATCAATATGATGCACAAAAGCCATGGATATGAATGAACTTTCTAATAGGTGCATCACACTTCAAATTAATTTAGTATAAATCTCAATAACTGTTATATCTCATAAACATAGATGTTTTCAAGGATGTGCCGATTTCAGTCCAAGCATGAAAATATTAACAAACTTGGAGAGAAAGCAGAAAGGATGGAGGTATGTCATCTGCAGTACATTTACCAATAATTGTACAGTCATAGTACTATATAGTACTTAGTACTAAAGACATTTTTAAACATTATCAAAACAATTTGTTAAGAACTCTCCTGAGAGTGCCCAGGAATTTCAGTTTTTAGTACAAGTAGGATAACCCATTTCAAACGTTATGCGCTAGTAAAGAACCACCTGGATTTACATCAAGATCAATTAATAACATCCGATACCAACGCACTATACCGCACTGAAATGTTTTAATTATTATTAATATTACTAATATTGTTCCTTATGTCATTGTTAGTAGTAAAGTGTCTTTTATCATAGCTATTGTCGTGTTACTGTTAATGGTGGCAACCATTTCTGCTGTGCAGTTTTACAATGTCATTTACACAATTTATTATGCTGATGTTGATGGTTTAATGTTTAAGGTGTTTGGTTGCTTTGCTTTGACTGAACTAGCACATGGTAGTAACACAAAGGCTATGGACACAACTGCTGTATATGACCCCAAAACACAGGTAAATAAATCAGTACATTCAAAATTGTGTTTAATTACTTAGCAAAACAAGTTCAAGACAAAAAATGTCTATTTTTCACAAAGATTTTTCTGGCTAATCTGAAATTTTCTATTTGATTTTTTCCATATTATCCATTTGTTGGCCCTTATTTATTTGTTTTTAAAACAGTCTTATCTCAATTGTAATAAATGATTTTTGTTGACCTCAATAGGAGTTCATTATCAATACGCCTCACTTTGAGGCTACCAAGGTGTGGGTGGGAAACCTTGGCAGAACAGCAACTCATGCAGTTGTCTATGCCCAGTTGTACACACCAGATGGTGTTTGTCATGGACTTCATTCCTTCATTGTACAAGTCAGAAGTACTAGAGATCTCCGTGCTAAGCCTGGTGTCACTGTTGGCGATTTAGGAAAGAAACTTGGACAGAACAGTCTAGATAATGGGTAAATATTCAGTTGCTGTTTAAAGTTTTGTGGTTTGTGTGTGTTTGTTGGCTTTGCTTAGATTTTGATTTGCATTACCAAATGATGATGTAGTGAAAGTTTTCAGTATTTTGAATTTTATCTTTTATAGTTTTGTAGCCTTTGATCATGTAAGAATACCAAGAGAGAACCTTTTGAACAAAGGTGGTGATGTGTCTCCTGATGGGAAATATATATCAGGCTACAAGGATCCCAAAAAAAGATTTGGTGCTGCACTTGGTGCTTTGTCAAGTGGTAGAGTTGGTATTACAAGCATGGCAGTAACTAATCTTAGGTCCTGTTTACCTATAGCTGTCAGGTAGGTAACATGATTAAAGTATTATTATTATTACATATCAAATATGAGCATTGATGTCAAGTTACAGTGTTTGTTTTGATCTCTACCAGGTATTCAGCAGTAAGGAAACAGTTTGGACCAGTTGAAGGGGAAGAAATTCCTGTCCTTGAATATCAAATGCAGGTTTGTATAACAACAAATTTTCACTCAGATATTTAATATAATATCATTTGTTTGTTATCCATGTGATAAATTTTATTTATTTCCAAGATCTATCTGTCCATTCACAAAGTTAATTAGTCATGGCATTCCATACACTTGTTCATTGACCACAAATTCAACTCATTGAACTGTCGTGTCAAGGTTTAGGAACCATAAAAGATCTGTGCTCAATGTCCCTTGATGCCTTGGATGATTGCTGTGTTTGTGGTCACTAAATCATGGAACCACTATTTTGTTTTCATCTTTTCTCAGTTGATTAACACAATCACACAGTTAGATACTTTTTATTTTGAAGATGTTTATTATCATGCAAATGTTGCTTTCTAAATATTTCATTGTATTTACAGCAATGGAGGCTACTTCCTCTACTTTCGGCAACTTATGCGCTAGAACACTTCTCACGAACCTTCTTTATGAACTTTGTTGAGTTTAATGTCATGGTTATGATGGGGGAGGAAAGTACCAGACAGGTAAATACATAGAATGGTAAGCTTGGGTCTATAGGCATCTTCCATGTGGTCCATATTAATGGAATAGTTTACATGAGTCACTATGTACCGTATTCAAATTTGAATATTTTTAGGTTAGTTGTACATCATTATTACAATAATACAATACAATTACAATAAACTTTATTTATAGAGGGTGACACTTGACAGTACTGCAACTGATAAACTAGTGGCCCTCGTACTAATCATCTACAAAGATAAATCTATAAAAATATATTAATATAAATATTCAGAATAGTAATAAAATTATGCGATAAAAAATATATATTATTTACAATATGAACCATGTTGATTAAAATTAAGTAATTAAGAAAACGAATGAAAATGGAAGAGCTGAGCAAAATCAATAAAAATTAAGGTCTGATTTTTGTCTTTGAATTAGGCTATTAAAAAGTAAATTTTTAAAAGACTGGGCACTGGTTGCTTCTTTAAGATATTTATCTAGCTTATTCCAATCTTTTGTGCAACGAACTGAAAATGAACGCCCACCTTCTGAGTTTTTCTTATAAAAAGGACAATTAAAATTAAGTTTACAAAAACAAGTTGTTCTATCATGTGTATCGCTATTCAATTTCAAAAATTCATTTATTCATTTGATGGATAGCACTATTACACTCTGGCAGTTTCCCTGGCTTATCAATTTTTACTTACTAGTGTTATTACCAACATTTTTCTTTTTCCAGGCAGAGCTAGGCCGTGAAATTCATGCAATGTCATCATCATCTAAGCCAATGGCAGGGTGGGTTGCTAGGGATGCCATTCAAGAATGTCGGGAAGCCTGCGGTGGTCATGGTTACCTTGCAGGTAAATATATTGTACTTGATCACACATAAATTATTATTTGAAGTATAATATCTATTTTATTGTTCAGTGAATAGGTTTGGTGTTTTAAGGGATGATAATGATCCTAACTGTACCTATGAAGGCGATAATAATATGTTACTTGGTCAAACAAGCAACTATTTGCTGGGTCTCTTGGAACTAAGACAAAAAGGTTGGTTGTATTTGGTTAGAATTACTAACATTGACATTTTATAGGCATCAAATATAATTACTAAATTTTTGTTGTTTCTTGTACTTGTAGGTCTTCCTATTTCCTCACCATTGCAGTCTGTAGACTACCTGAGTGATGCCAACCATATACTGGAGCAAAGATTTACAGCTAAAACAGAGGAGGAATGTGGTGATCTTGATTGTAAGTTTGTATGCTCATGGAATAAAACTGCATTCAATCTGATGATTATTAATAACTAATTTTTAATTGCCCTTGGCTTTATTGATTGTTTGCAACACATATTTTTGAAGAAAAATATAGTAAGTTACAACAGCAAAATTAACAAAACATAGTTGCTGTTGCATGGTGATTTTGTAAAATTTCTATGGACCATCAAGTTAGTTCCAGTTTGTCCTTAGTAAAATTGACTTCTGTATTCCCAGACATCTTTCAATCTTGTATTTGTGGTTGATCATCTTGTAGCTTTACATTGTGCGTTTCAATGGCTTGTTTGTTACCTGTGGCTTGAGAGTGGTGCCAAATACAGACAGCAATTGGCCTTTGGAAAGGTATTTATCATGTTTAGTAATTTTTGATCATTAGTATTGAAATATAGCGACGTACAAATATTGGAAATTACAGGAAGTTACAATGGTCAATATGTTTTGTGTTTTTCAGGATCCATTTTCTGCTAAAAACGACAGTCAAGTGTTTTTCTGTCGCTCGTTATCCCTTGCTTACATACAGGTCTGTCTTGTTCTGTATTTATCGTTTAATCCTCGCATATATTCATTCATTCATTCCTCCTTCCATTTATTTTTTCCATTCTTAATTTATCATATGCTTTTCACGTTTTGTACCTGATTCTCAAGTCGTAGCTTTAGCTCATCATATTTTAGGTTTGTTGCCAACAAATTCAAATTTTAAGTAAGCTGGGAGCGACTTATGGAATATTATTTTGTTGTTCAAAGTGCGAAGTTTTCCGTCGCTTTAAAGAAGCATGTAGAAGTGCTGACACACCTGTTGGTCTTCGTCCAGTGCTGACATTAATGTGTTCGTTGTATGGACTGTGGACCCTGGAAAAGCACTTGGCTACGTTGTATGAAGGTAATTACAACAAAATGATAAGGTCTAGCCACGACTGAAGGCTAAATTTAAACCATTTAAAGTGGCTCCCATTGGTGAAGTAAGCAGAGACGGAAAGGGATCGATACAATGTATATGTCGACAACGGTCGGAGACTGAAGTAGTGTATCCGACCGGTCGTTTGCATTCCTGTATTCTCTTGGGGTGACTGGGCTCACTCATATAAATGTCATAGATCCACATTTTGTATTTTTTTGTGGAAGAGGCTGTCATAAAATATCTTCGTTTATTCAAATGATTTTATTGCCCTTCAGGTGGGTTCTGTAGATCAACCAATGATGCCCGTATAGTCAAGAGCGCTATCATTACATTGTGTTTTAAGGTAAGATGAACTAATTATAAACTGAGACCCATTCATTCTACGTGTATCAGGACATCTCATCAAATGTTCGAAGAAAAAAGACGAGTCAAAATGAAATTCAAATTTCAGCGATTTGCTGGCGCCGGTTAAAAGATAGTAGTTAAAGTTGAAGTATCAATTAATTTTTTCTGTTTGTTATACAGCTCAAAGGTGAATCTGTACTTCTGTCTGATGCCTTGGCTCCTCCTGACTTCATCCTGAATTCGCCCATTGGTCTTAGTAATGGCCAGGTAAAATAGACAACTATATTATTATATGTAATAGGACTCCATGCTGTCCAATTAAGAAATAATTGGACGAGGAAAATTCCGAGGACTGCCAAAAATTGGACGAGGCCGTGGCCGAGTCCAATTTGGCAGTCAGAGGAATTTTTCGAGTCTAATTATTTCTTAATTGGACAGCATGGAGTCTTATTACCTATTAATTATATAGCCACATATTGATCCCAAATAGGTAAAAGCCAACCACAGCTTTTAACAAAAACCCAATTGAAAACCTGTCCAATTAATTTCTTAATTGGACAGGATTCCAAAATTAACGAAAAATCCAGCTTTTACCTATTTGGGATTAATATGTGGCTATATAATTAGTACTTTGTATTGGAATACTGATGGTAGTCATGACGATACTTGATGAATAAACTGATGATCAACACAGGGCAAAAAATAAGAGTTGTGCATCATCCAACGTCACTTTTCGCACTGACATAATGGCATATTGGATAATGTATGGGCGTGTGAACGGAAGATACAAATTTTATCTTCGCAGTTTTTGTCTTCAAGTGTTCCAAAGATTTCTCACACGAAGTGAGCGCAGCGCTTGCGATGATTAATGCAAGTTTGATTCAGTCCTGACTATGAGTCACCTGCGCACCTTATAAAACTACCACAGACCCGCACAATATGAGAGAATCTCAATTATTCTAAGGTTTAAATATATTATTTCATTTATCGTCCTTAGGCTCATAGGAACCTCTATGATGCCATCATGTCAGACCCAAACAGCACCAAACGAGTCTCATGGTGGAAAGAGTGCCGAAAACCTCCTCGTCAGCCGAAAAGTAAACTTTGAGAGTACTTGAGCATCCTGGAAGATGTTTTTAGCAATTGCCTAATACATTCATACGGCAAAAAGCTTTGAAAACAATAATAATCGCCATGTATTTACAATTTTACTAAAGTATATAAAGGTTGAAATGATATATAATCCTAAAGGTGGAGGTCACAATATACTTAATAACACGCAGGAAGGAACTATACCTTTTTTTGGTCGGTCACAACTGATTATGATGGTTGTAAGTAAGTGAGTTGTTGAGTGTGGTACTTGTAGGACGACTACCGACACAAGTACATCTCAATAATTATACACAAAAGTCGTTTTCTGTAATTATACATACTTAAATTCAATAAAATTTTAAATTTTTGAAATGTTGATACATTGAAAATTTACTACAGTTCGCGTATGCTTTAATTATGCGACAAAAAGAAAATACTATAAAAGTGTGAAGTGCAATTAAAAATAGCGAAGTAAAATGTAAAGTGACTGGACATCATCCAGGGGCCCGTAATCGTCGCATGGATTTACATTACCGGGCAGCAGTACCAACAACAGGTTCGCCTTAATCCGGAAGGAATCGAACCAATATGATAATGTGCCAGCTCTTCAGGCTATGAATTGAGTGGATGCAGTATGTATTGTCGATATAGTAGTTCTACAAATGAGGGAAGTTGGAAATATATATATTGCAAAATTTCTTTACTTTCAATAACTTTGAAATGTAGGCAGTATTTATTACATGGGCGCGCGGAGACATGCGGATTAACTTGAAATTACCAAGTCGCGAGTCAGCGAGTGAGATTTTCAACACGAGAAGATAAAATCCGTCGGCAAACGAGAATGAAATCGTGTTTTAACGGCGCTTTTTCGATCATTGTCAGTTCTAGATCTCAGTTAAAACTTTGGGTTACCTGTGTAATCGCGTAGCTGATCGGCGTTTTGGATGTTTATAGTTTGAGAAGAGAAAAAAATCAGAAAAAAATGAGAGTATCAAAAAACAACAATATGAACAAAAAGGAAAGGAAAAAAAGGAAAACTGAAAAAGAAAGAACCGAAAGAAGGAAAATTATATTGTCAGTTCAAACATCAGGACTCGAACTCAGGCATTTTATCTGAATGGAACTTGCACCCCCCGGACGTCTAATAAAAGAAATAATTAAAACAGAAAAAAAATGAAAAAGATGGGACGATTCCCCCGAGACATTCTATGAAGCTGAGGCGTCGAATCGGCTTACGTTACGGTTAGAGATTTCGGCTCTTCCACGCTATCCCGAGTGAACATAAAACTTAGTCTTAACCAAAAGGCCAGGGAGTGAGGGGGTAGCCGCCCACTAGAGCATATCTTTAGCTACCCTCTTAGACCATCGTGCTATGAAGTCACTGATAGATATCTAATACCTAATCGGGATAGTCTATTCGGTGAAGTTCTATGCTAATATATGACGTCATCATAATCCTTAGGGAGCAGCGAGCCAATCAGAACTTAGTCAATTACTGTAAAGGCCATTTCAGTACTTTATTATCTGAGGCGATGGGGGAGGGGAGGGGGGAGGTCGACGTGAGGGTGCGTGTCAGTTTGTTTGTGGGGAGGGGGAGGGGGGCAAATTCGAAGACGTCTGTTTCTTTCTGTGGACTATTCCGTATGCAATCGAACTTGCATACAGCTTTAACATTTTTTCATGAATGTATGCTAATGGCTCAATGAATGATTATTAATTCAGTGATACATCAACAATCACCTATATTCAAGTACGTGAATCGCAAGGAAACTGAGGTTCCGCCATGACAATTCAAATGGCCAGTTTATTTATTTGAAGATTGAAGGTAAAGAAAGCTTTATACTTGAATCACAAATTGATTAAAGCTCAGATAACAGTACCTTATAGAAACATTACTAGCTATTCTATATATCTATTCTATTAGTTTATTAGCTTTTGCCTTTCGACCGATGTCAGGACTTGACTATTGGGCGAGTTTGTTCATGTTGGGACTCCTGTGTTTTCTATTGGATCATTGACTTTGGACGAACAATTCAATTATTAATACAGAATGTCTTAACAATCACTTTTTAATAGTTTAGGCACCAAAGTAGGATTCGGTCACTTTTAAATTTACACGATTTCATGCTTAATTTCCTATAAAGAGATTATGTCGATATTAATGTAAGTATTCCATTGTATATTAAATAATAATTATATTCTTATGCTGATGAGTAACGTCTTTATATGAATTATAGTCGACTTGACTATACAATATATAGATTTCTCCTCCGGACAGTCAAAGTCCACAATAGCGATGACTAATCCACAACTAAAGTTAATTTTTTTAAAAAGGCCTACTATTGGTCGAGTAGTTATTTTTCTATCAAGAGTTTTCATTGGTTGTTTTTGTGATATAGCAGGTGCAATCAAAGAAAACATCTCGATCAATCTTTGGTTTACTAGAACTCCATTAAGTTATAGGTAAAACTTGAGTGAACTACTGCAAAAAAATGTCAGATGTTGATGAAAATGTACAAAAATTGGAAGAGAAAATTCCGTTGAGCGACAAAATTGAGGTGCGTAATTGTTCACGTTTGGATCGATAGATTTTTCTTCTAATGGTCTAATTCAAATGTTAATAGTCAAAGCTGTTTAAGTATGGACCGTGTTAAAATATCACTTGAAACAAAATTTGACAAGAACTTCAAGAGTGCAACAGTTGTTTAGTTATTTTTTCTAAGTAAACTACGGTCTTTAAAATCTAGTTTTTAAAATCTCAAACATTAGTATGGTATATTGGAATAAGTGTTCAACCTTTTTATTACTTATGACGTCGCCTAACTCGCCTGATACTTTGAGCTAATCACCTAAAAAAAACTTTTTAAGAAAGACATCTTCTCGTTTATGAACTGGCAAAGTTATGAAAGTTTCTATTGAAAATTCAAGAACTTTCTTCTAAGAAGCTTTGCATAAATACCGCAAAGTGAATACTAATTAAAGTTCAGGTCCCCCAGCGCGACATTATCCAAGTGAAAATATTAGTTATAATTCTAAATTCATACCCAAATAGCCATCTTATATTTATATAGCTGAACAAAAAAATAATTGAAAATAACACTTGAGTCAAAAGTATACTTGTCATAGGAACCTTTCACGTTTTAATCTTTGTTTTTGCCGAGAAGAGACTTCATGACAACCTTGAAATATTTACTTATTACAATTCGTTTAGTCTGTTTTTAGATTATTGGATGTTTCATGTTTTTCTTTCTCATAATACTGAACCAAATGCCTATACTAGAAATGAGACAACATGCATTTTCAACACACTTTACTGTGCCATCTTTGTTTGTGTTTTTACGTAATGTATAAACGAAGGATTTAGAACACAGACCTACTTGAATACAAAAACAATTTTGTTCTTAAAACAACTTTTTGAATCTACGTAGTTAGGTTTTATTAGTAAAAAGAAACTAGTATTCATCAATTGCTAGTCATTATGCCTATATATGGTACTCTTTCGTCCATTGAAAATGTTGACATGATTGGCAACGCCCTTGTGGACGGTTGTACGAAGGATGATAAATATTGCAATACATTGCTGGATGTATATAGCTTTCGTACAACCGCGACCCATGTCATCCAACTCCCATTCGCAAGGTGTTTATTGTGATTTATATCTCAAAACTGAGTCAGAATGATAAACCTAAATCTAGTAGTTCTAATTAACTATGGGTAAATAAGTAAAACTCAACTTTTTCTTACTCTAATCGATCTGTTCAGCAAGTCGCCGATAAAGAGGAAGACGAAAGCATAGACAACAAACAAGAGAATGAAAAAGATGAGGTGTGTGTACGCGCTTTTTACCTATGTCTCTATATCTTTCTGTCTGCATATTATTCATTTTCATTCAATGCTAAAAAGATTCCTCACTGCATCATGACAGTAACAATGTCATATAAAAATCCTCTCATTCTTTACTGAATTAAGCACTGTTGTATTTTATGAATCTGTATTTCCGCCATATTGCAATTAGCTGACATGTAACTAGTGTGACTGTATCTTAATTCAAGATCGACAGGGCTAGTGCAGGAAGTCCAACAGAGAGCGTCGATTCAAGCGATAGTGATGATGGCGAGCCTGAAGAACCACCTGATGTCAGTACACCATACCCAGACAGCAAGCTATTGATCTACCCCATGCAGAAGATGTACATGTGTCCCAAGTGTAGAGATCTGCTCCGTGAACCAGTGCAAAACAAATATTGTGGCCATTACTTGTGCTATCAATGTTATGTGGATGTTAGGTGAGGGGGTCATTTAGTTCTTCCCAGTTAAATGCAACGTTTCGGGATTAAGTTATGCTGACTGGATCTGACTAGATCTCGCGTGATGAATACTGATTTTATGATTTCATCTGAACAGCAAGTTAACAAAGCGATGTCCAATGGATCAAGTGGAGATTGGCAATAAACCACCAGTAAGTTCGTCAGTTATAAACGTCTTCAGATTCATAGATTCTTTGTGCATATTATAGTGAAAACTAGCTGTAAACTAGTGTGAGCTGCGTCGGTGTTTTGACGTCAGTAAGTCGTTTCCCTTATTTTTTACGGTGTTAAATTTAACTTTTTACACAACTGTTTCTTTGTGCATATGTTTTCATTTGTTTGGCGCTCGCTTCCGTAGGTCGCGCGATTGTCTGGTTTGGTTAGTTATGCTTGTCGTTCAGGTGTGTTGGTTTTAATAATTGGAATAATGTTTGCTGGTCTGTTTTTGAGAAGTTTAGTCTTGGATGTTTATATTGATGTTCACTATTGTATAATGTAGTAATTTCTTTTAGTTCAAAAGTATATAGCGAAATAATACCATTCTGTAATATGATGGGTATGTTTCTCTCCTAGCGCGTTGACAAGGAATTCAGAGACGATATCTGGCAACTGGAAGCAAAATGCAAGAACAATGAACAAGGCTGTAAGTGGGAAGATACAGTCGGAAAATATTCGGTAAGGAAGATAATATTAATGATTTTAATAAAAAAGTACAAACTTCGGACAGGTACGATTAATTAATGATTTTGATGCCTGGACAGATGTTTTTCAAATAATTCTAATATAATGAAAAATTATTTGTTATTACTGGTGGAATAGTGAAGATGAAATCATATCAGTGATCTATAATTGATATACCTATTCCAGGAACACGTGACATACTGTGAGTACAATTCCATGACGTGTATCTGCGGTACAAGTTTTCCAAAACGCTTCTACCAGAGGCATCGTGACAAGGAATGTGGTAAAGAGCTCATCCAGTGTGAATACTGCGAGAGTGAGATTTACAGAGAAAACAAGAAGGTATTTATTTGTCATGGTGATATTTTTCCTTAAATATACTAGCTTTTTCTTGATATCCACAGTATCAATGACTATCCCATGCATGCAAGCGATCATGCAGGCTCCGCGCTGCCCGGTTGAATATAATTCTTGAAATAAAGAAACAAGGTTGATATTTTAAGAAGCTCATTTTCATAGTCGTTACTCGTACTTTGCTCCTATCAAGGTAATATGTCTTCATTTTGTGACCACTCTTGTTCTGATTCTCAGTTAGATATGAATATCGGTTCATCAGTTATCATGTAGTAGTACCTCTTGTTCTCCGTGCATTATTACTGCGCGTGTATGACTAATAAGTTCAACACATTTTTTAGAGTCACCTGGTTGAATGCACTAAACTCCCTCTTCCTTGTCCCAACAAATGCGATAAGGACTTGCGGTTTCCAAGAGACGAGGTAAGACTCACTTACTCTCATTGTTATTCGATACAATTTAACCCCTTGCATAGTTCTAATCAACCAAACCACTATGCAGTCTATGAAACGTTAGTGTTAATAAATTGGCATATATTTTGTAATAATTCAGCTTGACAAGCACATTGAAACGGAATGCCCCCGCACCAAGGTCGTGTGTCATTTTGAAGACATTGGTTGCTCACACAAAGTAAGTAGCAATATTCGTGAGTACAATCATGGCAGCGCTGCCCCAATCCTACTTCGGCAATATTCGTGAGTGGCAGTCATGGCAGCGCCGCCCCAATCCTACTTCGCAAGTAATTTCAGATTTGTTTGTTCTTAGGAGTGTTAGAACTTTTTCTTGCCAGTGCATTAATTTTATATTACTCACAGTCCTCGCGATACTTTTATCTGCTTTCTTTCTTCGTACACTCACACATCTCATGGCAAATTGGAATATAAAACAATGCTCCATTATCTCTGTTAGTCCAGTCGAGAGAAGATGGTCAAGCATTACGCCAAAGAATTGACAAACCATGTAGACATGCTACACGTTGAAGAAATCAAACGAGACGAACTGTTGAACAAGATTCTTCTTAAACTAAGAGAACACGAAATGATGATAGGTAACGACGACGAACGGATTGGGAACCTTGAGAGCATTAACAACACTCAACTGATATGGCGCATTGAAGATGTTTCTGGGTATGATGAACTAATCTCATATGTAAATAATTTGATTAGATTTGATTGGTTAATGGTTGGTTGGTTGGTCGGTCTGGGTGGTTGGTTGGTCGGTCTGTGGTTGGTTGGTTATTTTGTTAGGTGGCTGTACGGTTGGAGGTTGGTTGGTTGGTGGTGGGGTTGGTTGGTTGGTTGGTTGATCGCTTGTTCGGTTAGTTGGTTGGTTGGTTGCATGGTGGATTGGATGTGTCGGTCGGTCGGTGAAAATGTTAATAAGGATCGGTGACTATATATATTCTAGGCAATGAAATGTTACAATACAATGCGATTGAACAATTATATTTATATAGAATAACTTTGCTGTTGTTTTCATTGAACACTAGTTATAAAATAATATATAGAACCATACCACTTGCCTCTATTTCTTTGATTTCTTCAGTAAGATGGCCCAGGCCAAAGGAGGTAGCGCTGAATCTCTCTTCCACCCTCCTTTTGCAACCAGCAAGCATGGTTATCGGTTCAGCGCATCAGTCTGTCTGAACGGCGATGGAAAAGGCAAAGGAACGCACATGTCTGTCTTCATTTCTATTCATAAAGGTACACTTTTTGAACGTATATCGAAAGAATCAGTTAATAAAAACAGCTCTCGCATTTTGTAGCACTCGTCAAGCCGTTTGTAATGAAATCTGTAAACTATACCTTACGTTGTACGAATGAGTTTGTCATGTGTATACACTATTTGTGTCTTAACCATGATATCCTCATCCTCTAGGAGATTACGATGTGTTTCTCAAGTGGCCGTTTGATTACCGAGTTACGTTCATTCTACTCGATCAAGACGAACATCTTAACGAACGCAAGCACATTAAGTACAGTATCAAACCCAGTCCATCTCCTGAAAACGAGAAATTCCTTGGCAGGCCAACCATGGACAAGAATGCAAGCTTTGGTCTTCAGAAGTTTGCATCTCACAAAGAAATCTATACAAGAAACTACATCAAAGACAACACAATGTTGCTGAAGATTTCTGTCGAGTGCCCTGGGACGGACGCTGTCTTCCTTGCTTAGAAAGTTTTATCGCACAAAGATGGCATATTATTCATTTCTTTTGTTGTCTTTTGACAAAAGCAACTTGCACACCATAATTCAACCAACGTATCAATCAATTAATCAATTCAATCATTCGAACATTCAAGTAATCCGCAAATAGCAAACTATGTCATGTCGATCAAGCAGTGAATTAAACAATAATCCTGAACTCAATTAGTACAAAAATATCATTTTACAAGTACGGAGCTACGCAATCTTGTACTTTTTATGCTGTGTGAAATGTATATTATTTCACAACCTAAAACAGCTATACTAGCTAGTATTGTAAATTTTTGGTTTATTTTTGCCCACTGCTTTATTAAAAAAATCAAAATGATCTATGTTGTTTTTGTTGTTTGGTACTGAAGTGATAATAAAATATATGACAAGATAGTATACTAGATGTTGTACAAAATCCTTCATCGGGATAGAAGGCATTCCAATACCCAGGATGAAAAGCGCAACAGTCTACTTTTAAAAAGATACTGCAGATTTTATGCCATACTAACTCCAAATTCAAAAACATGTGTTTATAGAGCTTAGAGAAATATATCGGTCACCAGTTTGTCTCTTAACCGGTCGCCTTTACCAACCAGATTCATTTTCAAACGTTGCGTGACGTCTACTACAAACCGCATAAAAGGAAAGTCATGACGAAAGTCATACCATTGAAATTTGATTGAAAATAAATCGACAAATGTGATTGGTAGTCTATGATGATCACGTGACGATGCATTTTTATGAAGTGATTTGATTGGTCTGCTTTCGTATGACAGGTGTCCATAGAAATGATTTCGATTAATCGCTGGGTGTTGTTTTAAAGTCGTGAAGAATTTTATTCTCACTAAAAACGAAATCTCCTACAACAACAATGTCTAATAACGAAGATAACCCTCCTGAAACAGACCAAGAATCATTTTCTCCAAATAAGGTAAGGGATGTGATTTTCAGTAATATTAAGGTTAGAAAATATGTAATTTATCGAGTTGTATAAGTTTCTTATCTATGGTTAAAATTATTAACATCAATATAATTCTTGATTTTTAAAGACAACGCACATCAATTGTGCTGTCGAATGAAAGACGAGTAGAAAACTTTTCTCATAAAATGATGATGCATATGTCGAAATTTTTTAACAAACTTTATTTTGATCTTTCATTCAAATGCAAATTATATTTTTCCTTGTAATTAACATTACAAGATGTGAATATTTTTAAAGCGTTTTTCTTAAACTATATCTGATTTTGACTACAAAATATTTTGATACTTGTAATGAACAACATGGCTACATGTATTTTTCTACACCTTGCAACAATTCTAAGATATTTTGTTTGTTGGTTCAGACATAGTCCTTTCTTTTCGGTATCTGGAGAATAATTCATACTAACAATATGGATTTCGATATTTTAGATGTCGGGGAATATAGGATGTATAGTATACTGGATTAATTCAGTTTCCAGTCCGCAGACTAGATCAATTTATACAAATTGTACAAAATGATGCAGACAATTATATGAGAAATATCGTGAGTCGAGATTCCTTGTCTTCCTTCTCCCTTGAGCTTTAACTATTTTTCCTACAATATATTTATATTGCATTGCATTGTCATTTATTCTTGTTGATATGTAAGTTTATATCCTCATAATTCCAATTACTAACAACCCCTATAACAAAACACACTAAGTACATGAATCACGTGAATTCCTCCAGACAAATGAAGACGTCGACGAAGATTCCCAACAAGATCCTCAACAAGATTTAATACAAGAAGATGATTCTCAGCAAGCATCGCAAAATGGGAAAGAAAAGCAGTCTGAAGATGACATGGTAAACATTTTACTTGCACAAACGAGCTCACAAAGACGATTGAATGAAGTATGATTTTAATGAATCATGCCTCAAAGGTCAGCGAGTGTTTAGGAACATAAGGATTAAACGGATCATTCCTTTAGTGTTTCGTAACAGTGTAATTCCTCTATTATTTCCCTCCAATTCCTCATCTAGAATTCAACAATAGGGCCATGGTAGACATGGTATAATTGTTTCTCACAGTGATGTACAAGTTGACTGTTTTTATTATTTTTGTAGATTAATGAGCAAGAAGAGCAAAAGGATCAAGGGCAGAAAGAGAAAGAAGAAGAAAAAGATGATCACGAACAGAACCAACCGGCTGGCTCAGAACAGTCAAATGAAAACGAAAAGGTATGTTAGGTGTTTAGATTATTATGGGACAATGATTATACGCGCTTACTGTACTCGTCAGGTGAAGCTTTCTTTTTTTTTACTTTCAGGTACACGATGAGCAACGTAGCCCATCTCCAAGTGGTTATTCAGGAATGAGTGATGGTCCACCAGAAAGCCCTCCACCTTTGACTGATCCCTACCCAAAACAAACGCTTCTTGTTAATCCTATTGATCGTAAATACATCTGTCTTAAATGTAAAGAGATTCTTCGTGAACCCGTAAAGATCAAGTTGTGTGGACATTTCTTATGTTATCCTTGCTATGAAGATGTTTGGAGGTAAGTTGGAAGAAGTAGGGAGAATTTTTTGCGAACCAAATCACATAAATACTATACATAAATGATTGAATACTAGAATTCTAACATTTTCCTGGTTCCTTTGAAGTGGGCAGACACCAAGATGTCCAGAAGATCAATCGGAGCTCAGTGACAAACTGCCCGTAGGTATCAGTCCACAGTAATGTCATCTATATGTTATTTTGGATGTTCGATGATTGTGCTTGGTATTGTCAGATGTTGCATCTAGTTAAAACTACCTTTTTCTATCAGCTGAATTTGAGTTTATCCCGTCTTTTTCACCCTGCATTTTAGTGCTGTTTTTAATTGCAATTGTCCTTTTCTCGTTTTTTTTTAAGATTGTTGACAAGAATTTCAGAAATGAAATCCTCCAACTAGAAGCGAAATGTCAAAACCACGAGTATGGATGTGAATGGAAGGGAATAATTCAGGATTTTGTGGTACGAAGACTGAACCATTATAGTCGTAGACATTCCAGACCAGGAATTATATTATGAAAAATTAGACACAAGGACGTCGTTAATAGTATTTTTGTATTAATAGAATCACGTTGAATTGTGTGAGTTTATCAAGATGGGATGTGAGTATGATTGTGGTGCGATCCTCTTAAAATGCTCCAAAGAACAGCACATGTTGAAAGACTGTCCTAAATACTACATCAGATGCCCATACTGTCAAGATGTGATCCTAAGAGAAAACAAAAAGGTAACGCGCATGCTTACAAATAAGGTTATATAGAATAAATTATAGAATAAATGGATTTATTTTTAGATGTAGATCTCCTAAGAGATATTAACTTACACATCACAAAATATGATTCATGCGGTTAACGAGCCATGAATGACTGCATGGTGTTTTATGGTGTCTAATCCAATAGAATCTGGACTTGCATCTTGAAAAAGAGTTGACTTCTTTTCCTGAAACTCCGGCAACTCATATGCATCTTTTTTACGTTAGTGTTATAAACTGAAATAATTCTATATTATCAGATTAAGTGAATGATTCGTATTTAAATTAACTTGAATTCTGTTGCAAGAATCATTTCAGAGAATGCGAAAAGCTTCCACTTCCCTGTCCTAACAAGTGTGACAAGAAGACAGTTGCAAAGAATGAGGTATGGACCTGCCCAACTGCTAACTATATAATAACTGAGAGAATATCACATGGGAAATATGGATGTCATCCTCTTGTGTTAGAAATGGGCTCTCATTCGTTAGCTACGCTCACTAGGTGAGAGGATCACTGATTTCAACACTCGAAGATGAAATCCGTACCTTCGCGCGCTCATGTAATATCCCCTGTTTCTTCTTATGAAATTTCTTACCAAACAGATGGACAACCACATCAAAAATTACTGTGGCCGCACAAAGATTATATGCAAGTTTGAAGATGTTGGGTGTGCACACAAGGTGAGTACCCTTGAGAGTCAGATTGCCAAAACAATAAAGATGATGCAACAATCTTCTTATACTCGATTAATCGTCTGCATTATCAAGGCATGGATTTGAAATGTTAGCTGGTAATTTTCTCGTATTTTCTCAACAGACAGGGCGAGATAAGATGACTGATCATTTCCTAACAGAAGCACATAGTCATGTCAGTCTGCTCGCAGATCTCGATTTGAAACACAAAGGATTGTTAAATGACATTTTTAAGCGTGTCGAGGAGCATGGGATTGCTATCACAGAGAAAAATATCCCTCGGATTGATGAGCTTGAAAAGATGGCTCGTACACAGTTGATATGGCGAATTGAAGACTACAAAGAGTAAGTTGACAAGTAAAAGTATCTTTTTCATGTCATTGCATGCAAAGAATAGAGCACCAAGCTATTTTGGGATTTGGAAACTATTTTAGAGCATGCGTGATAAGTATATATTGTCAACTTGAATATGAGCCACGAACAGAAACGACTGCGACGAAGGTTGCACTGTGGGCATGCAATCGTATCGACCCTCGTAGCTCAACAAGAAACTGTGAACGCTATTTCGACCTATATTCAGCCTCTTGATTGACTACGCACGCAGTGCTCTCATTCAGGTAATAGCTGATTATATATGTTTTGTTTTCAGGAAATTGCGCCAGGCTAAAGAGGGTGATAACGACACTCTATTCCACCCTCCTTTTTCAACCAGTAAACATGGCTACAGACTCAGCGCGTCTGTCTGTCTGAATGGTGACGGAAAAGCAAAAGGAACCCACATGTCCGTGTTTATCAGCATTCTCAAAGGTACTTTATCATTACATTTCTGTTTTATTTTCACAAGATATTCAAACACGCTGAATATTCCCTCCTTCAATTGGAAATTCATTAATCTACAATTTTATATGCACCTTTATGTCACATTGGTTTAGGACAAGTTCAAATCTAAAATAGGTCCTTGGAATATATAATGACGAATTTTCAAACCACGAGTTAAATGCTGCAAAAACGGCCAACATCAACATGATATTAATCTCATTTAAATGGTACAAAATTAAAACGTCTAACGAGATATATTGTATACAGGTCCTTACGATGCACTGTTGAAGTGGCCGTTTGAATGCCGTGTGTCATTCACTCTACTAGACCAAAATGAAGACCCGCGAAATCGAAAGCATATCAACTTTAGCATAAAACCAAATCCATGTCCTGAGAATGATCCGTTCCTCGGTAGACCCAAAATTGAGAAAAATGCCAGTTTTGGATGTGCTGAGTTTGCAAAACATCAAGAAATAATGTCGAGGAATTACACCGATAACGACAAGCTTTTTTTGAAAATAGCCGTCGACTGGAAATGCGATGTTGTGCCACATCCATAGATGATGCGTCGGTTCGCATGGGATTAACTTTTGCATTAATTGTTTCTTATATTTGTCATTTTCTCTTGTTTTTGTTCAAAATGCACACGCTCTTTGAGATATAAATCGCTTGTCCAAAGACAAAAAATGGTGGAAAATAGCAATATACTAGTGTGAGTACTAGTTGTTTAACCTACATTTTTATTGTATTGAAATTGATCTTTTTACACAGCTGTTAGAAATAATAAAGAGGATGAATAAGAAGGAGAGCTAAAAACTTTGATGTGAAGTTTTTGGTGCTAACTTAGTGCCAACTGCACACTTTACTTTTAGTCTAGTTTCATATTGTGTTGACGGATCCATGTTGGCTTGACACAAAGCTTAAGGACATTTTCAGTCTTCTTGCAAATGATTAGGGACAACTGAGATGAAACTACCTCAACTTCTAATTGACTAATAAAGGTCTTTGTTCATCATTTAAACTGAGACTTGAGTATTTTCTTTGACGAAACTCCCTTATTTTGAACCGAATAGCCAGACCTACACGTACTGCCTGAGAAATTACCACACCAATCACCAACAACCCCAAAGCACTTGGTAAAATTCCAAGTAATACAACTTCAGTTTTTTGTAAACAGTCTACGAGTTTCTGTAGGAAACCATGAGGGTGAATACCAGCAGCGATTAACGAAGCCTTGGAAAGGTTAATTGTTCCGATGGTAACCAATATAAACAGCGAGATGATTGAGAAATTATTGGCTGTGCGTTCCTTATAAGGAAAAACGATGACGTCATGTACAAGGATGATGATGCATACCACTGTCATGCCCAAAAGACGAATCATTGGTTTTGCAATAAACGAACGAAGACATAACAACACCAGACGTCGACCAATCAGCACACTCTCCCAGTACAACGCGCCTTTTGATCGACTGTCAGATGATCGGAATGGACCTTGAAGCACTTCAAGTAGATGAAATGTAGTTTCAGAAGTTGGACGAGCATAATTTTGCTCAGTTTTTCTTTTGAAAGCTTTCTTTACCGCCCAGTAAACTATAAATGGCAAAGGAGCAAAGCAAGCCAAAATGAACACACTTGGACTTATCTCATGACGACGTAGCTTGGATGTGCCTACCAAAAGAACAACAAGGAATGGCACCACAAAGATGATGTTGTATGCTATCAAGGCGAACTGCCACCAATGCACCCAGCAAGTAATGTTACCATCAAGAAACAAACGCCATTCAGTATGGCCGTCGATCTTCATTGGTGTACAATGTACAAGTTCTAATGAAGTATGACCAAGTCTTTCGTAGCCAAGTAACAGAACTTCAATAACGGCAGCGATGTATGGAGCAACAGGAGGTTTTTCATGTCGTTTCGTCAGTAAATGCAGCAAACGACTTAAAACATAGAAAATGACGATCCAAGCCATCACTGCAAACACTTGCAAGGAGCTAAAAAGTTCTTTGGTTGCTACAGTCAGTCCAGGAAATGGACATCCTAAAGAATCGTTTAATAGCTGAACTTGGAAATTATAGAACGAAACAAGCATCCCAATAAAGTAATCTTTATGCAGGATTTCTGTACAAGACTCAAGCATAAGCAGATCAGCAATCTGGTAGAAATAAAAAATAATTTTGAAATATCCATGCTCGCCATGACCATGCGTTTGTCTTTGCTGTGCAACGCGACTGTTTGGCAGCACAGTCTCCTTTTTTCTGAACCATAACAACTTTTCCACAAGATACAATACTACAGGGGGCTGATAAAATATGTATAACGCCATGACGATGGAATACAGGCCAGCGATAACCCAGAACCATCTATCAGTACACTCATTATTAGGACGACATTTGTTGTTGAAAATGCTTTCTGTAAAACCTTTTTTGCACGTACCACACATGATTCCTGTCCGGTTGCCATGACAGTGGTTAAACATTGCCGGATCTGTAGCTATCGGTGAATCACAGTACTTTTCAGGGCAGTGTAGAAAGTTTAATTGGGGTGAAAATCGAGTGTTATTTATATATCCCCAAAAACTTTTCCTACTTCTGATATTAAAACTACAATCTCCACCATAGGGACATTTGAAGCATGTAATCCATTTTCTCGTTAAATTTGTACCAGATAAAGTACCTTTTTCTAGACTATATTCGCTGTCTGGGCATCTTCTACATGTAAACTTCAGCCTGGTTATGTTCAATGGACAATTATTTTTTGTATACTGAGGAGGAATCAAATGCGAAGAGTTGTCAAGCTTAATATAACTTCCAACAGGGCATGCAAAAGTGGTTTTTTCGTCAAAATGAACATACCGCGCATTTTGGATAATGAAGATTGGAGTAGTCACTTCGCTTGCGCTCATCACAAAACTTGAATTTCTCACAACGAAAGGTCCTAATCCTGCAAAGTAGACAAAGGGCATGATGTTTACAGCTTTAGGATTGGTGTTGGGCTTCTCATCATGATCAAAGGTCCTAATTTCAGTCTGGTTGAAGACTGAGTTTTCAAAAGTAATACTCGGTGTTCCATGTTCAACGAATATAAACACTCCCGTTCTTGGGTTGCGGGAAAAGTTGTTTTCAAACAAGCTACGCTTGATGACAGTCTTTCCATTATCAATGTACATAATGTTGGAAAAACCTGTATTGTTGGTGAAACGAACATTTTCAAGCGTAATATTGTTTTTATCAATGTATTGTGGAAAATATTTATTTGCACACTTCTGCTTTGAGCTTTGGTTGTGACTGGTATACAGACTTTGTGGACTTTGTGGCATGTACAGGTACATTAGGTCTGACACATCAGGATCATCATCTTTGCTCTTTTGGAAGTTATCTTTGAAAACAGTGTTACGAATAACCGCTTTGAATTGACCTCTATGAGGAAATACAGCTATACCAAAAACACTGCCACTTGCACGGCATATAACATTACCAATAAAGACTACATCTTCGATAGTTACATTGCCAGATACCAATGAGCAGTTGCTGCTTTTTCTACATAACTTCCTATTTCCCATTGTGATTCTGATTGCCTCCTTTTTTCTAATGTTATTTCTACGAAACAATGTTTTTCGAATTATGACTTTACTGTTGATTGGCCTTTTTTGCAGGATAAAAAGTGGCGCTGCACCATTGTTTTGAAAAACACTGCGGTGTATTGACACAGTGGAGTTGAAAAAATGACTCTCTTTTGCTTTGTTTCGAACAAAGAGACACATACCTTTGTTGCTGAAGCATGTAAGATTTTCTGCATCAAATCTTTGCATCTTTTTAACTTTTATTGCTGGTCCTTGGTTATTGGCAAAAATCGAATTGAAAATTTTAAAGCTTGATTCTTGATTCTGCGAAGCGCTCCCTTCAACATTCAAGATGTAAACCTTGTTAGGCGAGGCGTTCCTTACAAAGTTAGTGTTTTCTAAACACACATGAGTTTTGGTTTCACGTTTCCTGGTGTTGGAATGCTTGATGACTAGTGTGGATTCATATTTGTTATAGTTATCGGAAAACAAGGAGTTCTTTACCAAGACTTGTGCAGATTCACTAGAGGTGAGGCATATATTACCAAATCGGATTTTCTTGCAATCGTTTGGTTTTTTACAGGGGGCATTGCAATGTTTAAACATCAGTCCAGTGAATTCAACGTACAATCTACCAACAGGAACGAGAGGATAACGATTTTTCATATCACCGACACTTATAGCACACCCCGTTTTCTTTCCATAGGAATACTCTATTGTAGTATTAATAAAAATCAGTACGACATGCTTATTGGTTCCGCCGTCGATATGCAACACACCTCCAGTTATTCCTGCAATATTTTTGGTGAACACTGAATTGTTAACACATACCTTCGCAAAGAAACCTTTTTTAGAGGATATAATATTTATAATACCCCCTGATTTGCTGATGTTATGTCCTTGAAAGCTGCAGTTATCAATCTTCACAGAGCAATTAGGACTAAGTAGATTCATAAACCTCATGTTGACATTGTCCTTACTGTGTATATTCTCTAGTTCAATTAAAACTTTGGTCACATTAGTTGTCAGGAAACTGCTTTCTGCATGAGTTAAATTCTTCATGTATTTTGGACTAAACTCTCCAGCATGGAGAACATTGCTTTCATAATAATTCATCATACGTTGTACCTGTGCTCGATTTTTCATTACTGTCACATTTTTCATTAAAATGAAATGATGTTTGATAGAATTTTTTGCTTTTCCCCACATTTGAATCAATGCTGTACTTTCATCTTTTGATAATGGGTAGTTCTCCTTGAAGGTTACATCTTTGAGGTGTACCTTACTATAGTTAGTATTAACATTAATATCTAAGCATCCATGATTTCTTTTAAACAAACTGTTACTAACATTTAGCGTCAGTAATGGAACACATTCCGATACCTTTAATCTAATAGATGTCACCGCCTCGATGAACATACAATCCTTGATGACAACGGTTGAAGCATCTAAACGAATCGTCGTTTTCTTGAATGAAATTCCACTTAAAGTCACTGTACCCGAGTTAGATTGGATGATTATCCCACCAATGCAGGAAATGTAGGCTAGGCTTTGGTAACTCATTAATTTAAAAGCTTTTTTCACGATAAGTTTTTGCTGCGAGGATTGACAATTGTAGGGGTTAAACTTTGTTCCTCCTCCATTGACGTAGAGATGACCCCCAGGTGCAAGTACATCAAACCCAAGCTGCAGACTCTTACACGGAAATGCTATGCTACCACACTTCTTGGAAGATGATCCATTGTGGAATCTGGATACGTATACAATATCGTGTTTGCTTGCTGCAATGACAATAACAATTAACGTCAAACAAAAGAACTTTATCAGTCATCAAAAGGGGATCTTCAGTGGTTGAAAAGAGAGTATTTATCATATGAATCATCACAGAGAACAAGTTTTTATCTTGTAAAACAAGTTTATTAGTTTCAATAGAGGTATAACAAATGGTATATTTCCATTAGTGAAAGCAAATCCCGAAAGTGAAAAGCATACACCTACTTGCAAAATCTGATTATATAATCATGTCAGTATTATACATTAATACATATCTGTTTAACCGGGAAACACGCGTTCAATGAGATTCTCTTTGTCAAAATGTTTCACTGGATTTTCATTATTTTATCTATTATCATTATTTTTTGCTACTCTTAGGGCTAGAATCATTTGCATGACAGGCAATCCTTACTTTTGAGGAAAATTAAACCAGGAATCTTCACCCAAGTTAAATAAAACTTAATGTAAACAGTTCCCAGAGTCTGTCAATGAATGGATCGGATACGCTGGGGAGTTCCCGCTAATTAGACAAGCATATTCAAATCATAAATATTCATCAACAAAGCGTCAACTTTTTTCATTAGTTTAGTAAAATAGCAGCTCATGTTCTGGTACTCGGACGGCTGACTGTACAGGAAGGTGTACATTCATTGTTCGTCGTTTTCTCGGCGTGAATTGGAAAATAAATTTTCCTGGTTAATTCATGAGAACTCTTCAATGGAAACAAGGTAAGAATTGTGTTTTTGTAACACAACTATAGTGAGTTATAGCAATAATGGCATTTAGGTCTTGGAATGTATTATGAAATAAAAGTTTTCAATACTACTGAAGAGTTTCTAAAATAGCTGTTTATTAATAGAGCCCTGTAAGACTGCAATTGATGAATTAAATGACAGCACATTATTTTTATTCTCTTTTCAGAAACTTTTATCTTTCATCACAAAAACACTACTCAAGTCTATGATGAAGACTTCCTCGGCATCCACGCCCTGGTTTGCAATTGTTGTACATTACGAGTATAGAACCAGTACAATTACAAGTAGTTATTTTAGGATCAAAACTTAGATGTGCTTATACGAGTTTGAGTAGTTTCTTTGTTCATGTTGACTTTTTTAATAGCGAATTTCAAAACGAGAAAAGCGTCCACATACAAGTCGTAAATTCATAAGACCTAGATCTTCCACCTTCCCGTGGCAGCAAACATCAATATCAAGCAATGAAAACAACAGCAACAACTTTTAATGGTAAATCCATTCAATTGTCAACAATAATATAAGGTTATGTCGTAATCTACATTCCGAGCCCCTACTTGAGACATCTTAAATGAACCGATTGCAAAAAACCATTGAACCCAAACACGTTTTGCTTGCTTACCTGAGGATGTTCCAATATCGTAAGTGTTCAAGGTAACTAGGAAAGCAACTAAACCAATTACAACACGAGCCATTAAATGTGTGACTGGTTGCAAAAAAGGATGTTACAGCAGCCACGAATTCCAGAATCCTGCATAAACTATGCATGCTTTTGATATTGAGGGTTATTGACTTGATTTATGAGGTTTGATAAGGAAAGTAAAAACCATGTGTTGGTTCGAAAGTCTTTCTATTTTAAGCTATGACGTCGGAATTTCGATAGTACTAACTAATAATAGGCGAGGTCTATAGACACCAGGATCGAAACGGGTCTTTATCTTGTCTAAATGAATACTTGTCGAGGTTTAGTGTTGATTATGGTGTGATGTAAAAATATGTGGAATTAAAAAGCATGCTAGTTTAGCGACCGGCAAGACAAATGTGAAAAATAAATAGACTAGAACCTGCGTTCATGTTCAACACTGTACAAAAGAATTGAAGACGAGGCTCATGGGAAATAATCGATCATTTCTCCAAAAATAAAAAAAGACCTTCAAAAAAATCCAACTGTATCTGGTTATTGAAAATAGTCAATTTTCTTGTAGGTTTAACTGTTAATAATATTACATTATTATAAGAATTGTCTATTCATTAACATTATTTTCTTTCATTTCTGTGTCTGTTCTATCTTAGTGCCATGCGGTCCTCAAATTCATATTCATTAACATTAAAATGCGATTGTTTATGAAACTGTCGTTTGTCTTTTTCATTTTTATATGTATATTTTCAGTTCCTTATGAAACAAATACATCATGTGGGGGTTAGCATACAACAGCATTATAGCTGACCAGCTACTGTCTTAAAACTCAATGATATTCTGCTAAAAATCAATGAAAAATGTCAAACATATTTGGTTAGGACGCCCAAAGCGCAGTGTGTTAAAGGCATGCCATATATCCTGAACTACGAGCAATAGACCCGCTTAGTCGAATAGCGGTTAATTATGTGAAAGAAAAATAGACGGTACTGACGAGACCCAATAGAAGGACACGAAGCGCGAAATAATGGATTACTGATTTCCAGGTCATGGAACAGGAAAAAACAAGGTATTCAAACATTTAAACCTACTCATAGCTATATTTCAAATCTTTGGTTTCCAGGAGCATTTATTAAGAATTTGAGAAGCGAACGTAAATCGTTATATTCAAACTTAGGTTTTACCAAATGTTCATTATCTTAATCGATAACAAGATGCAACGTCTTTTCCTCAGCAAAAGCGAGGAGTCAACACTGGAATGCCGGTATGGTATGTTCTACGATACAAATCATTATAGAGAAGCTCTGAACTGGTTTGATCAAGAAATCTATGCTTCAGTGCTGACTTATTGTTTCTTTTAAAAAACAACTTCGAGGGTACTCTTGAAAAGGCAGTCTATACCACTCTCTGTTAATATTGACAACAAAGTCAGAAACCTGCATGGTATTATTAGTGCAGAATTCTAAAGATCGCTGTATACAGCCTTTACGTCTTGGATTGAAAGATTATACCCTTTATGACTAGAAAACAGTTAGTTTTATTAGCTGAGAATCTTAATCATGCCAGTTGATTGTTACAACATGCGCGCGCAAAAAAACCGGAACATTTGCGGCAACTTTTTACGATCGCGTGCAAATCGTTAATGATTATTATTAAAAAAGAAAAAGCTCTTGACGTACATCCTGATTATACACACGACTAAAATATTTCCTGTCAAAGCAAGTTGAATATACTATGGCTTATTAGGTTGGTATTTTTAATGGGATGAAAGCGCCCTTGGCCTACGCAAAGTCAAAAATACTTTAGGAATGCTTGCTTTTGTTAGGCGGTAAGCCTTTTCTTGAGACAAATCAATTATATTATCATTCAAAAATCAGAACAATTTAACAGACACTGTTGAGGAGCTTTTGCAAAGTGGTGCGAAAATCTTTCGAGATTATAATGATTCAAAGGGCGTTCGTAACCCTCTTCGAATGAGCAACCGTTTGATCAACATTTGAAGCCGAAATTTAACTAACAACAATATGCCTGAGCTAAATTCTCTCACGTACTACTTTCTAACATGTTTATTTACCTAAGCATTTCTTTTCGAGATTAAATTTACGAAAATATCCCGTTTGAGAATGAAGGCTTTGTTATGTTTGCAATAATTAATTAAAACAAGTTTTCAAAGCACGTGTTGTTCGTTAATCCAGTTGATTGTTGATTTAGTAGCCACCCAGTAAAACAACTTCAAATTATGAATATTCTGCAGAATGTGTGAAAACGTTCACAAGAGCAGAGCTGAATTTTTTTCTTGAATTTGTTAAGAGAAGATTTAAAATCGGCAGGCTCGAATCAAATGGATAAAAGAATCAACAAAAGACGACCATGTCGTCCCGTGAGCGAGTTGATAACTCTTTTTGATCATCAAGAAGCCGAAAAGTCAAAAGCTTCACAATGGCGAAGTGAGAACGCTTTGAATTTACCTAAATCACCGCAAATTACTCACAAAAGAAACTCAGCAAGTTTGAGTCGCTCTGGGAATTCGGAAATTTCAAAGTCAAGCGAGTGTGTTCAGGCGGAAAGCGTTCGCGACAAATCCTGTGTAACTGGAGGCAAAGCGGGAACTAGAACAGCGAGACCTCCACTGCAAGCTAAACAAACACACGGGAAAACCCTCGAGAAAACAAAGAAGAAAGTAATGGAAGAAAAACGCAGAGACAAAAACGATCTTGATATCCCTGAATCTCTTAAAAAAGAAGCAAAACAAGAGAAACAAGCGGTGAGAAATAACTCAGATGGCGACAGTGAAAGCGACACTGAAAGCTGTACTCGCAAGAAGTTTCCATTGGATGACTCGTTAGCTGTTTTGCGACGCGAAATGGTAAGTTGATGTGATCGCCATACAATTTCTCTACCCGCTATGGACTATATGTTAATGAAACTGGAAATACTGTTTGGTAATTCTAGTAGTTTTTACGCAAAAGCGAGAAAACTAGTCAAGTCAGCAAAAACCGCGTACTGTATGACTTAAGTGCCTTCAGTCTTTATATGAAGCAATTATATTATATCTATAATATTATTATGAAGCCGCTTTTAACATAAAAATGGTGGATGTCACAGAACTTTTAATAATCGTTTGTTTTTTATGATATTTGTTAAGTAATTGTTTTTCTTTGCAAACTTATCTGGTATACCGACCTGAATCTGAAAGTAATAGTTCATATTTGGCTTGAACCGATCGAATAGCTGCGTCTGTCAATCTATTTCAGTTTACGATATATATTTTCTCTAAAAAATTGAACAAATTTTCTTAAACAGTCGCACATATTCACTTGTGAAATTAAATTCATGGAACTTATATACAATTTCGCTAAAACGTTGTTTGCGCACCGGTGAAAAAGCTACTCCAGTACTATCTTTTTTTACTTTTGATATGCTTCACGTATCTAAAAGTATAATATCTGGCTTTAGGCGAGCATTGGTGTAGTAAAAGCGGTAGCTTTGAAGATAAATGTCGTCATTAACACATAGATTTTTTGAAAAGAGCAATTCAACCCTATAATTCCAAAATATCAATTGCTATTGTCCCTCTATACTTCACCGCATTCAATTCTACTCAAGAACAGTATACATTCACAACGGTCGGTCTTTTGCTTGTGGTCTCAAATTAAGCTTTAATGAATTAAGCTGCAATGAATGGAATAACTAAAAACTATTCCACAAATCATTTCATCAAAAGTGTTTAGATTGTTGCTGTAAATTTTGTTACACAAGAGCAAGGAAAATCTTTTAAATTGCGTATTCTACTTGAATCCTTATTCAATCGGCTGTTTTTTCTTTGCTATTCTATCCCTGCTATTCCAAAAATGAGGTTTAAGCCTCTTAAATCAAACAGGTTTTCACACCGCGTCGTTTAATGGACTGTTTATTGCGATTAGTGCCATTGTTCGCTAAGACTTGAGACTCTTTTATTGAAAATAGATTTGAAAAGCACTGACTAAGGCATAAATTTGTCCAATGCAATCGCACTGAAGCAACTTTTTCATCGTTAATATGCAAAATGCGTTTTCTAGCGATTCAGATAATGACGTGATTGATCACTTAGGATAGGAGTTATTTTAATAACATTAATTGATCTACAACGTCACTCTTTTTAGCATTCACTGCGTAAACAAGACGTCGAGTTAATGAGTCAGCTACTCGCACTCAACTCGAGCATCCAAGACATCAAGTCGAGTTCCAGTTCTATGTCTAACTACTCAGACACGTCCGACGCCGAGACAGAAATCGAAAACAACTCGCCAATCCGTCAAGCTTGGCATCAAAGAGAAAGCTCTACAGGATCCGACACAAGTGACTTTGAGATTCGCAGAGGAACACTAAGACCAACCTACAAACAAAGCAATGTTAACCGTGACAGCCTGGGATCTGAAGTTAGTGGTTACTATAGCAATCCGTCTCCAAGGAGCTCTTATCATGGAAGTAAAAGTTCATTAAATGCTTATGACGTCAGTGGGGCTGAGTCGTTCGTCAGCAGAAGCGAATGCTGTTCACCTCAACCGTCATCACCAGTCAGCGCTGACCCTCCTTTTACGCATGCATATCACTGCAGACAGAAAACATGGCTCAACCAAGATCTCTTAGGACTGGGAATGACAGGAAGTGATCCAATGCTTAACCGTGATTTCCCGGATGGAGATAAGCTTCAGCCCCCTGTGCATTCAAAAGCGTTTCACGCTGGAGACGAGAAGGTTAGAAGAATGAGTCTCCAACAGAAAAGACTTTACAGCCGACGAAACACGGCCTGCAGTACATTGAGCGACATGTCTCGCAGCGGAAGTGACCATTCACTCAGCGGATATGACTTCGATAGCGACAATAGCCGTACATCAGTGCAATCAAGTCGTATACAAAAATGGCAACGTTCAAAGAGCACTTGCGCACTGAATGGCGCTCACAACAGTACTTCAAGAACGCCTATCAAAAACACAATCAAAGTCGATTTACGCAACAACCCTCCCACCCCAGGGACAGCCATTGAGCTCATTTTACCTATTCAGCCTCTGCAACCAACTAGACGAAACTCTGCATTGCGCATGGCAGAGAGAAAACAAGTGAATAAGCTTAACAGCCTTAGCAAAAGACAGAGCACAATCTGGTGACTAGCGGCAAGAAACGAACCGGGAAGACTGGATCATTTCAGAACAAAATCGAGCATTCATAAGTAATGACATTGTTAAACATTATACAAGGTAGCATAGCTTCACATTTGAACAAATCACATGCAGTGGTTCTCCTAGGACGGTGAAAGAATAGTCGAACTAATAGTTACTCATCAAAGACATCGCTTTTTGTTGTTGTGTTTTTCAAGTATTTTGGTCACTATCAACTATTACAAAATAGATAGTAAGTCATGTTCTGTTCACTGTCGATGGAAAAATACTCTATAGATAGACATTAAGTTTAACTGTACAAATGGCCTGAGTACTAGCCGATTTTGAAATTTTTGATCTCTGTAAAAATCAATCACTTTTATATCAAAGACTCACGCAAAACTTAAAAAAACATAAATGAAGGAGTTTTTTTTCGTTTTGTTTGGATCTTTTAATCTTATTTGGTTTCTAGTAATAGTCGTTATACAAGACTCACTGTAAGGTAAACGAGTTGTAATGAGAGCAATGCTTTCAAGCGATAGACTAGAATATTATTTTTATACATACTGCTGGCGAATAACAAAAGATATACGACTGCATGCATATCGGATGAGCAGTTAATCCTCAAAAATCTTTTCTATAGAAAACAGCTAAGACAACTAACTAACAATGCACGGAACTAGAATCATAAAGAAGTCGTTTATTAAGCATTTTTTAAATGAAAGGTAACGATTATGATCTTTTAAGTGCTGCTTTTGGGGTTTTCAACGAAGTTTAAAAATGTAGAATAATTGTATGATTTAAAAATGGTAGCTTTTGAAACAATTAAGTTTAGAAAAAAAACTAATTAATGTTGGCAGATAAAATTTGATTTTTACTTTATTAAAAAGCGTACTGGTAATATTTCATATTACTTGATCCCAAGAAAGTCGAATGATTCATGTCGGCTATATAGCAAACTAATGCAATTCGTTAATATTCTAATCTTATTATTGAAATCACACTTACCTGTTAATTGAGAAATTAAAAAGTCATTTAATAGACAATAAGATGTAATCTGCTTTAGAATTTATTTTAGTTGTGACGCAAATGAACAACGACACCAAGGAAACTTCGTCAGTCAAACGTACTGTGGAGCATGCACATTCCGCTAGCTCTTAGCAACTGCTTAAGTATTTTATTAACCAGCTAAAGTAATTACCATAGAATTGTTTCCACATAATTTTTATTATTCTTTCTTTTATAACTTTTTGCAGAGTAAATTTCTTGCCAGCAAGCAGGGTTGTAAGGCACATTTTAGTGAGCTTTGACGTCATCGTTCATTGTTGATTGTTCTTGGTATTAGTTGTTTGCAAACTTCAGCTTTATTATTTACTCACGCTCATAGTAAGATAAAGTAGAAAAGTAGCATCCACGACGGGATTAAGAAGCAAACAAGCAGAAGATACAGGTAGTACTGATTCCTTGTACTGAGAGAGATTATTCTTTGCCTAACAGGTTAGATCGTGATACAATCATGTGCGCTGTCGTTTGCAATGTCGTTCTCACCTTATAATTACCAAGTGATTGCAAAATGACGATGAACATTTATGGGGTCTTTATCGTGGTCTTTATTTGATTGACCTATAAAGAGAGCTAGAAATCTAATCCTTTATGGGGGGCTTCTAGACCCGGCTCCCTAGACCCCATCTGATAAAGACATGGGCCATCAGATTAGCCCAGCGCTATGAAGATTGTGAAACCTAGCAACAATTAAACTACTTCGCACTTAAGCGATGTACGTATGTGAATTTGTCTTAAATGACTTCTCTCATCGTAATCAAGAATGCTTTGACTTATTAAGCGTCGAGATTTGAAAATGAAACGGCCAAAATTGCTATTTTTACAGTTGAAAATGTCGTCACTGGAATCATGCATGCACTCTTATATAATCAATATACATGGGATGCATAAACCACTGTGTATATTTCTTTTTTCATCAGCGGTGTCGTCTTGGTAACTTAAGATGACGAATGTACCTCCATATTTCTTGTTAGCATGCTTGTTCGTTTGGGTCAGCTTGGAATTTAGGTGTGCTAAAGGTACCCCTACACCTCCCCTGCCAGGCAGTGTGACGCAAACTTTATCGGTGGATCCAAGTATCTTGTTGAATCCGACAGCTACTTATTATTCACCCTCATCAAGCGTTTACGTGACGATCAATACAGGTACGCATGCGTGAATGCGAAAGAAACATGATCTTTAGGAAAGAAATATGCGGATATTATGGTGGGAACTAGCGGTAAACTATGTGAGCTGCGTCAGTATTTCTAAAGAAACGTGAGTTGTGTAAAAAAAGATAAATTTAACACCGTGAAAAAGGGGGTGAAATAACTTACCAACGTTTCGGACAATAATCCTTCGTCGGAGTAAAGAGATCAGACTACGCTAAGTGTGAGTTTATGTAATGAGAGGAGCAAAGAAAGCTGACCAATAGTAGCAAGGTAGGCATGGTAACGAGAAGTAAACAATTAAAGTAAGAGTATTATAATATAAATTATATTATAAATCACTTAACTGATATGCTATATGACAACCTACTTTTGTTGTACCCATAAAAGGTTGTGGTGGCAATCTAACCAATCACAGTGGACAGCTAACACATCCAGAATACCCAAAGCCCATTGCGATCCCGAGTACGTGTACTTGGAGAGTAAATCTCGACACAGGAATGCGCGTTTCTCTGTTATACAACTATTTGGATTTAAAGGGACAGTGTAGCGAGAATTTCCTTGAGATTTGGGAAAAGTCTTCCGGTGGCTCACGAACATTATTAAGAAGGTCATGTGGATATCTAGATAAGCCTGAACGACTCGTTACCAAGACAAACAGCATTGATGTTGTGTTTAACTCTAATTCATCGATTTCTGGTGGCGGATTTCTCGTCACCTATTCAGTGTTCAAAGGTTTGTATAAAAAGAATCTTTGCCTACAATTAATCATTCCTGCATAATCTGCTTTGAAATGAACATAACTGAATTCAGTGTTGACACTCTGTTGACACATAAGCGATGTTTTCATTAGGACTAACGGCTGCAGAGAATACTAAAAGATGCTGCATTATGCAATTATGATGATGATGATTCTCATTATTTATGTCAATGCAGGATGCAACCAAACGTTTGCCAACAATAGTGGTGTTATACAATCACCTTATTATCCCAACGACTATCCTCTGAATATCCAATGCGCATACACCATCACAGCTCCTGCTGACCATCAGGTATCTCTGTCATTGGAATTTCTTGATCTTGCCTACTCAATGAATTGTACAGATAGCGTGCTGGAGGTCTGGGACGGACCTGTTGGTATCTCGTCTCCTGTTGGTCGGTATTGTGGCTATCTGATCAGTCAATGGTTGAGATCCAAAAGCAATGTACTCAGCTTGAGGTTTTCCTCTAGTATGGTGGGAAGTAGACGCGGTTATAAGCTCCGATACTATGCTGTCAAATCAGGTAATGTACCCATCATACATTTCCATACAAGAAAACTATCATGTAATAAGTTTACTAACTGAATCAATCAGTTTATTACCAATGCAATATGACACCACTCTTCATTCGTCTGTTTTCAGACTGTAACTCGACCATGAACTCAACAGAGGGTTTTATTTCTGCACCCAGTGAAAATGGGCCTTGTTCCTGGACAATTAACAGTATACAAGGCCACGTGATATCACTCCGGTTTGACAGGTTTTTTCTATCGTTGTCTGAAAACTGTTCACGTGACTACCTCGTGATAAAAGATGGTCGATCAGTGATTGGTCGATACTGTGGGTATCAAAAAGGTGAACTGGTTTACTCTAACGATAATTCTGTTACTCTCGAGTACTTCACCTCGAAGGTCGACGGCCATGGTTTTCAGATATATTACAAGACTTTTATTAAACCTGGTAAATACAAATTTTGTTGAATATTAATCAGTATTAATTAATATTAATCCTCAATACAGTATTCTAATGTATAAGAAAGGTCAGATGAACTTTAGACACAATATTTTTTATGCATATACATGAATTAAGTTCATTAGTTTACAATTTTCATTTTCATTCAAGCTTCTAAAACATTCTTTCAGATTCGTACAACTACCTGAATATGTCAAGAGGCTATCTCCAGACTCCTCTCTACCCGGACAATTATCCAAGTAACACAAAATACGACTGGCTTATCGAACAGCCAATTGGCTACATCATCGACCTTGCGTTTGATGATTTTGAGTTGGAATTCTCAGTCAATTGCACCAAGGACTACGTTGAAATATTTGATGGGGCCAATAATAGTTCTGTTTCTCTGGGAAAGTACTGTGGAACAAAGAAAACTAGTGATCACGTGACTACATCTGGTAACATGATGTACCTGGAGTTTGTATCGAATAGTCAACGACCAGCGAAAGGGTTTAAAATTAGCTATACTGGCATAAGAATAGGTAGAAAGTACTCAAAATGTTGTACATATTCAGTTTTATTTTTGTTTATTGCATTCAATTCTAGTTTCTCTATTTCCGGTCCATTTGTGATTTAAGCCATTTCAAACCATTATATTAACAACTGTGCAGCAACGCAATTTTGTTCAACAAATCATGACGGAAGTTGTAGCCCTTCCATTATTTTACATGTTCGCTGAAATAGACGACCCTGAAATGGGTCTCTCTGCTTTTAGCACGAAGCGGCAAAACTACTAGCATTTTTGGAGCTGAAAATCTAATAGTGATTATAAATACAGTCTCACCTTTTTGTAGACTGGGCGTTGAACATTCCAGTCCACTTCATTCGATTCTAGCCTATTTCATGCACTCCACTCTGCTTCAAATTCATCTTTTATTTCTCTTCTTGTTTTACATTGAACTGAATAACTTCTGAAGTAATTAGCGTAAACATAAATTTACATGTTAAATGTTCTTTAATTCTATATCCTTCAGACTGTCCAAAGAATTTCACCAACTCATCCGGAACAATAATGTCCCCAAATTATCCCGACTTTTATCCAAAAAACTACCACTGCGAATGGCATATATCCTACATGGTTGGCTATCAAATCTACTTGACGCTCTCTTACTTCGACGTAGCACCAACTGATGCATGCATTGGGGACTACGTTGTTTTTAGAGGATTAGCTGAGAACAAAGACGATAGTCCAGAAAGACACTGTGGCTATTTAGTGAAGAGGTATCCATTGGTATCCAAGTACAATACGATGATGGTTGCGTTCCATACAGATGGTGTGGAAGAGAATAGAGGGTTTGTTCTGAACTACAAGGTGGATGGAACAGGTTTGATTATCTATTCAATTTTATTTGTTCATTTATCACAAGATTTGCCATTATAGATTTACCTGATATAGAATTCATTCTTTAGGTTACCCTACCCCTCCTCGTTCACCAACATCAAACGAATTGGAACAAGCGGTTGTGATGGAGTTGTACAATATCACCAAATCAAAGGTAATGAAGAACTTTGCTTAAACTAGACGAAGGTCCCTGAAACTCAATGATGTTTTTAGAACTACATTTACAAATATATCCTTATTCCACCTTTTACTGTATCCATTATTCCGTTGATATAAATAATAAATGGCTTTTAATGCTTTTAGTGGATCACAAACAAAGACCTGGCATTCAAAAATTTAGTAGCCAATGCAACTAATATTTTCTGCGATGGGGAAAACGTGCCCTCGTGTTTTCTACTGACCAAAGAAAGGCAAAGGTAAGACGCTAAGCTCAGAAACACATCAACGCCTCGTGATGCACCCTGGATGTGACCTTTCTTAACCATGTTAGTGTTGCTGATTGCAAAAGTTCATTCTTGTCACTGACATATTTACTTTTTTTCCTTACAGGAGGTCATTGGATTCAAAATTCACAGCACAATCCATCCATCTTGCTCCTGGGTATCCTAAAGCACGTGATTCAGTTCTTGTGGTGGTACTTTATGCTTTGTATTCAAGTGACATGAGAGTAGACACAGATTGGACATCTTCTGCCATTCCAAAGGTAATAGTACCTCAATAATGCTCTTTGTTACTTGACGTTTTATTAATTGTAAACATGATATTTTTGAATTATTAATTATAATCCAGTCTGTCGAACATGCTTGTGAATATTGTCAATATGAAATCATTGAGTTTTGGTCTGCTGATTTCATTAGGTTTTCAGAGTAGAATCACTGAAGAAGTAATGGTTGTAAAGGTGTTGTAAATGTGCTGAATTCGAACTAATCATTTGTTCTAGAATGCGTTAAAGCGTGCAATTCTCGTCTCGAAAGAATACATTGAGTCTTCGTTTGGTACAAAAATCAAGTCAATATCGTACTACGTGGACATGAATTCCACTTCAGCAACACCCGTTGTTCCTGCAGGACAACAGTCGAATATCCTCCCCATTGTTCTCGGTGTCATTGGTGGCTTCGTTCTGTTATTTGCAGTTATTTTAAGTACATGCTTATGTTGGTAAGCCTTTGCACTGGATCAGAAATATCTTTTATGGTTTGCTTTGAAACGTTTGAAATTATTATCTCACTGTTTTGTTATTCTTTTGCAATCTCGGACATTTTATTTATTTTTATTAAATTTCCACTTGTATCCGAGAATCCTTGCGCTTGCGCATTTTTTTCATATACGAAAAATCCGGCGCCATCTTTGATTTTCATACATTTAGAAAGCAGCTTTAATTAATGGAACTTTTAAAACGAACTTATCAGCTGCAGTAACGGTTCTTGGACGAAAGTGTGCCTTTAATTGTAGCAACGTTAGCTTTAGTTACGGCTAGGAGTGTTTACAATTACAAACGGAGTGTTCTTGATGTTTTAATCCACCTTCAAAAACTCATTAATTATTCATGAGGTATTCAGCCAACCCCGGATTGTAATTTGTACCACGTGAAGTAACTTGAAACCAGAGGAAGTACTCCTAACTTGTATTCTACCTTATTTCCAGTTACTTCTACCTTTTTTTGAAACCAGAGGAAGTACTCGTACCTTGTATTCTACCTTATTTCCAGTTACTTCTACCTTTTTCAAGTTACTTCTACATTATTTCCAGCTATTTCTACCTTATTTCCAGTTACTTCTACSATGTTTCCAACTACTACTAGCTAATGATAATCAAATTATTGGAAATAATCAGTTTAACCTTAATTTAGTGAAAAAAGGTCTTTGATACATGACTCCCTCACGACTCGATCCCCTACCGTCCAGTCTATATGCGCCGTCTTATACCATTACACCACCGAGTTTCTGATGTGATTCCTCGGAAGATAACATACTTATAAATGCCATGAATAGCAGACAAAGACAATTTGAATACCTTTTGTTTCAGAAAGCCGTCCGGGAATTCAAGAACAACAAACGGTGCTTCATGTATTCAAAATTATGAAAACTGAAAACCTTAGTGGAGATGCAATAAATCAATTTATTTCTGTTATATGTATTTCCTTCGCTTTTTTCCCCTCCCGAATAATTAATGAGTTTTTGAAGTCGTTCAAAGGCCTCCAATTCGGACTTGACGGGATTTCAAAGTCCGCGCAATTAGTTCCAGTCCTCGGCTAACGCCTCGGACTGGAACTAATTGCGCGGACTTTGAAACCCCGTCAAGTCCTCATTGTCGGCCTTTAAACATTACATACATGGTTTACTATTCCTTCATGGGCTGTTTAATCAATCGATTATATGTTCATTAACTTAGTTTACAATTTTATTTTAGGCGTAAAAAGAATCATGGGAGATTTATGGTCAAACGATGTGTGACTCCTATAGAGTTTGTGGACGAAAACGATGAAATCAAACTTGAGAAAGTAAAATCAGGCGAGCCTCAACCAGCAAGGAGACGAGCTTCAACACTCAAAGTTGTGGATCTTGACTCTCTTACAGATTAAACGAGCACAACCTTATTGTTTTTTTAAACTATATAACTATATTCTGTAAATGAGTATTTACAGACTCTCCATAGATGACTATGTAAATGGTGACGAAGGCCAATGAATGATGGCATTCGTGTCTCTATAAGAGCATAGAAACACGGCTTTCAAGCGAAGGGCTGTTATCATTAAAAAAGCTTTTCTGCACGAGGTTCAAAATTTTTCTCGTGTTTTCCCGCGTGTTTTTAATAGAAAATGAAAACAAGGAAAAAATCTTTTAATGTTTCAAAAAACAGTCAATAATTATCATGCACTGATATATTTCGGCAATTTAAATTGTGTATGGAAAATTTAATAAAACAACATCATTCAAGAGGTGAGCAGTTAATGTCATTGGGGACAGGGCAGGGAAATTGGTTTAGTTAAGTGATTTCTTGTTCGCATTTGAATGAAATTTAATATAAAGACCGTACTCCGTTATTCTATTGGTAAAGAGAAAGTAATACAACATCAGTTTACTAATGCCATCATTCATTGGTATTGTTGTTAACTAAAGAAAATAAGTTCACTGTTTTTAGTTTTACACATTTCAACCAATCAGTGCGTTTGTTATATAGAAGTTTTGTAATGAAAAAGAAAAGAAAGCTATGCTAATTCTTGATGAATTTAGATTGACATCATACTATCAAATCTATATGTTATCAAGTCTATATTGTTCATAGTCTTACACATAATTCTTGACACTCTGAACTGACCTTAAGTAACGCAGATCGCACTAGAGCAGAGAAGAGGGAGACAGTCTGCCCCTACTAACTATGCCCTGTCCCATGAAACTGTGGTGCCATACTACTTTGTCCTAGCAGACCTGCAGAACTAATAACACTGAAAAATGAAACGTTTGGTATATCGAGGCACCCTGCATCCCACCTGTGTGGAAGTTCCATTCGTTCAAATTCTAAAACCCTGTGGCGTAATATATCTTCTTTTCCATTTCATGCAATTGTTATGCCATATGTTCGATAGTTAGATCGCGGTAACCGTCTGCCTCAAAAAGGCAGATGTCTGCCGCTACCAAATTAAAACACCTGCGCATGAATCATCAGAGGTTGTATTGGCTCTTCTGTTTATTTCTTGATATTTCTCGTAGCACTGTGTCCACACTACCACGTCATTATACTCATTTCTGATTAAAATCCGCACTGAGTTCGTTAAGTCTTTGTGTAATAAAATTGATGACATGTTCTTCAATAGGTCTCAATTATTACGTCATGTTCAAATCCGGAATCAAAACCTTCATTAGCTGCTATGGTTAATAGTTGCCGACTACTTGTCGACAAATCCTTTCTACACAGACACACAGCACGTGCACATCGGACAACAATGACCACCAAACGTGGAACTTGTGATACCAAAAATGCAGCTATTAGCAATCCTAACACGCCAGGCAAGAGACCGATGATGACGACTTCAAAGATCTGYATTGCAAAGATTTGTGTCTTTACTGGATCCTCGGGGAAGACACCAATTGTAACAAGAACTGATTTACATAGATTGACAGTTGCCAAGGCGACAAGCATCCAGTGTATGAGAAGAGCAAAGGAGTTGGCCTTCTTGTCCTTATATGGATTGGAAATCGTATTATGAAACAAAGCRATTSAACAAAGCACAGTCATTAACARRAGTCGTATCATCGGTGTCGTTACAAATGCCGAAATGCACAACAATATAAGGCGACGACCAATGAGAATGCTTTCCCAGTACAGCGTGCCTTTTGATTGGCTATCTGGCTGTCTGAATGGACCTTGAAGAACATCCAATAAAGCTTGTCTCATCTCATCGTGTTCTTCATTATCACGTGCGTTATAGGTTTTGCAGCGTACAATCCAGACTATCAGGAATGGCAGAGGAACAAAACAGGCCAAGACAAATAACATGGGACTTATCTCATGACGACGTAGCTTGGATGTGCCTACCAAAAGAACAGCAAGGAATGGCAACACAAAGATGATGTTGTATGCTACCAAGGCGAACTGCCACCAATGCACCCAGCAAGTAATGTTACCATCAAGAAACAAACGCCATTCAGTATKGCCGTCGATCTTCAGTGGTGTACAATGTAGAAGTTCTAATGAAGTGTGGCCAAGTCTCTCGTAACCAAGTAACAGAACTTCAACGATAGCAGCGATGTATGGAGCGAATGACGGTCTMGATYTYTTTAGGRAAAAACAGCTYAGATAATGAAAGRCGTAGAAGACCAAGAGGAACCCCATCGAGACAAAGACCTTTGAGGAACGAAACAGTGCTTTTGTCACAACATTCAATCCTGAAAAAGGACAGCCAAACGAAGAGTCTGCTGYCTCGACTTCGAAATTATAAAATGCAATGACTGACGACAACAAAATGTTCCTCTTCAAAATKTCCGTAGTACTATCCAACATCAATAAATCAGCTATTTGGTAGAAATAGAAAATTACTTTAGAAAACCCATGYCCACCATGATGTTGTTGCACAGTATCTGACTCAGTTACGCATTCCTTTTTCCTCCTGAACCAAAACATCTGATCCACGAGAAACCGAACTACCGGCGGTCGTTTGATAATATAGAAGGATATTGCAAAGGAATACAAAAAGGCGATGAGCCAGAACCATTYATCRGTRCACTCATTACTAGGCCGACATTTGTGATTGAAAATGCTTTCTGTAAAACCTTTCTTGCACATACCACACATGACTCCGGTTCGATTGCCAATGCATTTATTGTATATTGAAGTGTTGTACTTTGTTTTAGGAGATCGACAATACTGTTCTGGGCATCTTGTGAAATTCAGCTGTGGAGGAGTCTTAAATGTTAGGTATCCCCAGAAGTTAYGTCTGCTTTGAATGTTATTTGTGCAAATGGAGCCATAGGGACAAAAATTGAAGCACTGAATATTCTGCAAMCTTGTTCCATGCATCAAACCTCTTTCAAKGCTGTATTTWCCTGRSCCGCATGTTTTGCACGAGAACTTCATYTGAGTAATATTAATAGAACCTTGCCCGACATTAAGGTAAAYRATGTGGGAGCCATTCTCGAGGTTCATATAACTACCTACCGGACAAATTAGCTTTGTGTTRTTATCAATATAAACAAATCCTTCTGTTTGAATGGTGAAATGAGGGATGATCCTCTCAGATATGTCAGCTATAAAACTAGAGTTTCTCAGTAATAATGGGCCTGTTCCTCCTGCAAAAACAAAAGCCATGAATAAATAATCCACTGATTGCATCGGATTTGAACGTAAAGAACTTCTGATTTCATTTTGAAGAAAGATTGAATCTTGAATTGTAACRGTCCCTGTTCCTTTTTCAATGAARAGGTGAGCGCCAATCTTAGGTCTATAAGAAAAATTATTCTTGAACAAACAGTTTCTGAAGGTTGTGTTGSCATTRAGGACATACATTAGGTAAGTTAAAGCCATGTTGTTTTCAAAGGTTACGTTTTCGAATAAAAAGCTGTTTAGATACTTGTAAGAAGGAAACTCAGGCTTTTTTCTTTTCCCAGTGAGATGCTTTGGATGGATTACTGGATCATCTTGGCATCGTAGGAATATCATCGTAGGGATTTGTTTTTTATTGTTCCTGAGAGTCTGCGAATTTCCATCGAAGACACAATGTCTGAAAATAACAGAGACTGAGCCATTATGAGTAATTGGGACAATGAAACCAAAGATGAAGCTTCCTTTCTTGTTTTTTGTCATTTGATTTGATTTGAAGATAACATTTTCCATCAGGAAAACTGCCGTAAGATCTAATTCTTTCCTCGTATTGAGACCGAACGATACAACAAAGGAGTTTGTAAGAGTATTTTCTAGAATTTTTGTGTTCTGTATTTCAACTGAGGAAATGATTGGCTGCACCAATTTGAAATGAAGGCACTGAAAGTTTTCTGCGAAAAGTGAATTTTTAATGAGTAACGACGCATTATACACAGTGCACGTGCTATGTTGTTCCCTTCCAATAAAGTACTCGTAGCATGTCCCATTAGTTTTGATGCAGGAAACATTCGTAAACGAAATATTTTGTATATTCGCTGTTTTCACGGCTACTCCCACATTCCTCTCAAATACAGTGTCAGAGATAAAAAGTGATGACTCAGAGACGTTACAAACGTCATTGATAAAAACTCCAAGTGCAGAGAGTTTGAGCATGGGGCCAACGTTACATAGAAATTCAGACTTCAACACCTTAACATGTAACGATCCWCCTTGCATTTCTCCACTGTGAACGATAAACACTGCTGAGCCTTTATTATTTTTGCTTCTAACGAATTTCGAGTTCTCAATAATTACATTACCATTATGGGTTGTCGCCAGGCACAACGGTCCATACCGACTACGAAATGCACCCTTCTTACATATTTTAGAGCATCGTTCAAATGTGTTTTTSTGAATTATTGCAGACACTTCTCTAACACCTCTTGAAGAGGAAACATTTCCTACCGACAAAACGCAACCGGTTTTTATTCCACTGTGGGACTCATCCGAATATTTAAATGAACAGTTGATTGCTTTCAAAGTGACAGATCTGTTTAATCCTTTCTCGATTTGAAGGACTCCGCCAATGTCAGCTTCATTCTYATAAAAAGTGGAATCCTTAAGAAGAACATCAACATTTCGTCCTTCAGGAATGTATATGACACCTCCAGAACCACGTATATTGTGGGAAACAAACRAAGATTGGTAGATCTTGAGATAGCTTTCACAACTTCGCACTTTAAGAAATCTCATATTTATATTGTTGCGGCTTTGAATGTTTTCAAAATGCAGCGTTGCGCTGTAGGCGTTGACAACAAAAAAGCTGGGATCGTGTTCAGCGTTGCATTTTGAGCTATCATTGTATCCGCATTTACTGTAAAAAGAGTCATTGGAACACGCGTCCTCATAAAATCGCTTTCTCTTATAACTGTTTTTCAATAGAGTGACATTTTTCCAGATAGACTTCAATGAAACCTTTCTTTTTATGCATCGCTTGTGGTCGAAAGACACTAATTCATTTGACCCACGGCCTTTGTTAGTGTCAAACAAAGTGTTTTGAATGGCCATTGACATCGTATTTAATTCACCWGTGACTTCCACATTGACATGGATGCAACCAATATTTTTGGTGAAAAGCGAATTGTCAATATTCAAGTYTAATGCATTTAGATCACGCGATATCTTAACACTTAYAGCTTTCGTTGCTTGCATGAACTTACAGTCATTAAATACAGCGTCTGTATTTTCCAGGTCAAGAGGTGTTTTGTGAAAAGTTATTCCTGTTATGTTTACAGTCATGCGCACTTTACCC